GGCGGGACGCGGGGAGGCCGCGGGCGCCCGGGCGGGCCCGCGGCGGGGCGGAGGGGCCGCTCGGGCGGGCGGGCGCAGTGAGCGTGTGCTCCCGCAGGGCTCCAGCAGCTGGGAGGCGGCGGATCTGGGCAACGAGGAGCGCAAGCAGAAGTTCCTGCGGCTGATGGGCGCCGGGAAGGTGAGGCCGCCCCGTCCCCATCTGCCCCCATCCCATCCCTGCGGGCACACGGGGCCGGGCGGGGGGAGCCCCCGGGCCCTACGCGGGGCTCTGTGTGCGATGGACCGCGGTGCGCCCTGGGGGAAACCACAACAATCAGAAGCGACGGGGCTTTGGAGTTCTCCTTCCGGGAGGGTTTGGGTTTCACAGCTGTTGTTTCATCACAACACAAAACGTCGCTCTGAAGTTGTCGAGTCCCTGGGCTTCGGCTTCGTCCCCGTCCCATGCCTTGATGCTTTCAGAGCAGCTCGTAAAATTATCTGTGAACGCGCCTGAGAGAGTCCTTGTTATAAACTAACAAACCTATGTATTAGCTCTGTAAAATTCTCTTGCACTGGAAAAAAACTTAAAAAAAAAGGTAGCTGATGGACTAAAGCAGTAAAGTAGTAAACCTACTTAATCCATCCAGGAAATTTTTTTAAAGAGAAAATGCTCTAAAATGATATTTCGGTTATGCTTGCTGCAAAAAATATTGCGAACCCCATAAAATGTAATAATGCTTTGTTCATGTATAAAATGTTGGTTTGGTATTGCTATTTTACTTACCCCCAAGACAAATATTTTCACTTGCACTAGCTTATTTTGCTTGAATACAGTAATTTTGTAAGCTAAAATATTTTACTGTATTAAAGAGGTGAAAGTTAATACTTCCTAATGGGTAGGGATACAATGTCCTATTAAAGCATCCCACTACCACTGATCTTAATGTCTGCTTGGATACTTAATGCTGCTTGCTGTTCTTGCCTGTTGGGACACACTTGCTAATGAGCAACTACTGAGCCAATAAATTAATGAGCACTGTAAAGTTCTTACCTGATTCTGTGACCAGTCTGAAAGTGGGATCATCGTAAGATGCACAGCCTGAACTATTGCAGAGTGCCAGAGAAAGGGAAGATTGTCAGAACCTACATATGCATTTGTCCAGCATCGTGTAGTATTGTTTTCATGCCAAGAAGCAGGATAAAACAGAACCAGCTTTGGGGTCTGGGAAGAGCAAAGAGTGTCTAGTTGTTGGGGTTTCTTTTTCAGAAAATTCAGCAAAACAAAGATGAAACGAGTTCACCAAGAGGCAGCAGCTGTTAGCTAGTAAAACTTACTGTCCTACAGTTGGTTGTCAGGGTTTGACAGCAAACCTTTTCCATTCGAGATTCCAGGATGCTGGCAAAGCTGTCAGTGCACCCTAAAGCTCCAAAACAAACTGCCTTTTCTTTTAGAAAGAACATACTGGCCGCCTTGTTATCGGAGACCACAGATCAACCTCTCACTTCAGGACAGGTCAGTTTATCCAACAGCTGATACAAAGTTGGAAATCTAACCCTTATTTAGGAACATGCCAGTACTTTGAGTAGATATTGCAGGGAGGAATTTCAGGTTTCGTGGCTGCAGCTGAAGACGGGTCAGGCTGTGGAGTTGTTCCTAATTTCTCGTTAGATTACTGACAAACAGTTTCTCTGACTGCACTTGCCTTCTGAAGTCCAGGTTCAGCCAAGTAGTCAAGATGGTCAAGTACACTTGTGTACAAAAGCGCTGGCAATCAGGACCTGTAGGTCCTCAGTGTTATTTTGCTGTCAAAATAAGTTTTATTGCTATTGGCACCTAGCAGTGTTACACTTCCTTGCTGCCAGGTATGGATATCCAAACCTTGACATTGTTGTGCATGGAAAAGAACAGGGTTGATTTCTACCTCACCTTGTTAACTATTGCTTCTGCCCTAAAGCAGTGAGGCAGAAGCTGAAAAGATCCATAGGGTCATCTTGGCAATCAGCAATAATTGCATGTCATGTATGACCATGGTACCCTCTTATCGTGGTAGTAAATCAAAGTACATTGCACCAAGGTGGGTTGGACTCCACTGCCTGAGAGAAGCTTTGATAAAGCTGTGTAGAATAGTAGCTCTCACTGTTCCAGAAAACTTGCCATGATACACTCCACTGATCATTTTTCAGTTGATGAAAAATTATCTATGGACCTAAAGAAGCCTGAGGATTGGTTCAAGGTTCTGCTGTTAGCCTGCAGAGTGACTGAGAATCACTTCCTCATACCTGAATTTCCTAGAGATGATGCTTCTCCTAAGGAGTCATAAAGAGTCAGTACTGGTTTGTTATTAGCAAAAGGTTAAAATGCTGGTTTTTTCACCAAAAAAAAAAAGAACATCTGTTTTCTTAATACTGCTTTGTCCAACATACAGTATTGCCCTTTTACAACAACACACAGCTCTAACTTCCAAATGAGGAAGTGTGAATTTGCAATACAACCTTTCAGCTTCACAGAGATACAAATTAAAAACTAGTGTTGTAGGCCTGTTGGGGACATTTAGAGATTCCTACCTTTTAAAAGAACAGAGGAGTCTTAACCATTGTAGACCATGTTTTTCTCCAGTGAAAATGATTATTTATTTACTTATTTAAACAAGTAAGTAAAGAGCATGTAGAAGTAGCTTGTGAAAATTAGTGTTTCTGCTAATTCCTAAATATGGAAAAATGCAGAGCTGTAGTAACTGCAGCTGGTATTTCAGGATGCATGAAACAGTTTCAGATACAGCTCTATAAACAAGAGTGGTAATATTGTCCTGAGTTCTGATGCTATATATGCATCATGATATAATCACAGTAATCCTGTGGTATGTAGTAAAGGTCAAAAACTTTCTCCTTGCTGTGACATGTTGCAGTATTGGCAGGAAGCACAAAGAATTCATGCTGAGTTAGGTTGTTTAGTGGGATGTAACACTGTGTGTAGTACAACTGAACACATCAGGTCTTAGGAACTTTGTATCAAAGCAGTTCTGCTTGCACACTTGATACAATTCCTTATAAATCTGATGGTTTGTATGCAGTAATACTCTCAATCCAGTAGTTTAAGATGGTTAAATTTAAACTTTTTGACTTCGTAAATGTGACTTCATGTAATTTGATGTCTTTGTTAATTTGAATGAACCATAACCAAAGTACCCTGGACAATGCAGGGGAAGAAGACAAGAAAATGAATGAAGAATTGGAGTCCCAGTACCAACAAAGCATGGACAGCACGATGTCTGGGCGGAACCGGCGCCACTGTGGACTTGGTTTCAGTGAGGTACTGAGTTTACTTCCATAATGATTTGGCTTTCACTTCATAAGATTAGTTTAAAAATCCAGTCACCATAACTAGTGGCAAACTTCCACAGTTTGGGTTAAAAGACAAACTTATTGCAGGCATGCAAATGACTCCTGTTCATGTACAGTGTGGTGGCCATTTAGATGCCTCTGATAAGAGGTATGATATGCTTAATGCTCCATAGTAGTCAAGACTGATTAGTGCAGAAAGTGACAAATAAATCAGTGTTGCCAAGGAATAATACATAAGCAGGCAGAATAACCATCTGTCTTGTTGCTGAAAGCTAATTAATCTCAGCTTCTTGTTGTAGGGAGGCACATACCTCTCTGTGGTCCTGAAAAGTAAGGGGTCAGACTTGCTGTACAAAATCTTGCAGTGAGTTGACATCTGCCTAGTCTTGTACTCACAAGGAATGAGCTGGAAGAGAAGTGTGACAAAAACCAAGAGAATCAGGTTATTAGGAACATGGCTCCATCTGCCAATTGAAAGGCACAATAATTAAATTTTTGCTAACTCTTAGCACCAGTAACTGCATAAAAACATAGCTGATGTTGCCAGAGTGAGTAAAACCACATGTGCAGTGCTGGGAATTCTTAATGTTACAGCCAGGAAGGCTTTGCTCTTTAGGGCCATGAACAAAATGCCGTTTTGGATTGTTCCATTTAGCAGTATCATTGGATTACTTCAGCGTTCCTCATGTTGCAGTTTGCTAAACTTACTTTGAAAGATCAGTCACAAATGTGAATTCTTGATGGGCTGGCTGTTAGTTCCATTGTGTCACATTCCGTGACAAGTATTCCAGTGGCAAGTACTGTGTGGACCGAAGTGCGGAACTACTGAACTGATGTGATCTGAAACCTTTCAGACTTGCTGAACGGTGTCTTTAGGATTTCTGCTGAAATTAAATAAACCAGTGACTGATGAAACCGTGGATGTCACGATTGGCATGGGTTACCACCTCAGGGGAGTCGCTCTCTTGTCTAAAATTTTGTGTATTACAGGCCACTGTTTAGCAACAAAGCCCATTTTAGTAGCAAAATGAAAGGAGCCGTTAAGCAAAACATTCTCACTGGGAAATCTTAAATGCTGCAATGGAGTTGCCAGGAAATAAAGTTATATCTGTCTCATAATCTGAACTTGTAGTTTCAGGAAGATGAAGAACAAGAAGAGGCAGCTGGACACTCCTCTGATGAGAGTTCAGAGGACTCTGAAAGTGGCTCTGATTCGGAGCAAGAGGAGTCTGCAGAGGAGCTACAACCTGCTGAAAAACATGAGGAAGCTGAGGTTCCAGAAAACAAAAAAGAAGCAAAAAGCAACTATAAAATGATGTTTGTGAAAGCCAGTGGTTCATAACTGCAGATGTAACAGCTTTGTATTTAAAGTACAGTAAGCCTTATTGTTACAGTGCAAAGTGGAGGACTGCTACAGCACAAATCTTTGTATTTTGATTTTAAAAAGACCCCGTTAGATGACAAAAAGTAGTATTTGCTTTCTGTTGCCATGGATAACGTTTTTATGGGCACAGTGATATTACTGGTATTTTTAAAGTGTATGAAATCCTGGACGGAGAAATAAATTTGTTCTGCCCAATCTCTACAATGTTATCTAAACTATCCCTTCCCTTATTCCATGCCAGATAAGGAAGCTTCATGTTAGTGGTTTATTCAGTTAGTACCCCAGTCTTGAATTTTTAACTATTAAGATTACATGTGAATTATGTGATGTTGCATTAGTTGTAAAATACCAATATCAGCATTATTCTGTGATGTACTAGAGCTTTAAACAATGATTTTGTCTATAGATGCTAGTGTTGGCAGGGCTGAGAGGAGAAATCGCTCACTTTTGTGATAGTATTAATCACTGTATCCATCTGAAGTCCTACAGCAGTTGCATGGAGAATAATACAACAGAAGGCTCTAATTGCTTCTTTGGCTTTCTAATGAGGGGAATAAGCTGTAGTTTTTTCTACCTTTCAGTAGAAAAGAGTGATTTTTGAATTACTGGTTCCTGGTTATAGCACTGAGCTGTTATTAAAAATAACTCCTCCCGAAGAAAAAGTTTACTTTGAAAGAGAAAGTATACTTTGATAATGAAAAGGATATACAAATCATTTAGCTTTTTTAAAATATAGAATTAAGAGTTAAGTACTTGAGCCCTTCTTCCTTTTCTCCCCGTACATGCATCACTTGGAGGTCTGAGTCAATTATCACAAGGTGGTACCTCTCAAGTCAACTGATATGCTTAGAGAGCCAGCAACTCCTTCCAGCAAGAATTAAATACATCCATTCCTCTGCAAATTCATTGCATTCAAGTAATGAATAAAATATCAGAGCTTTTTAGACTTTGTTTCCTCTTAGTACATTAGATCACCTGCCTCTCCTTGCTGGGAGAACAGGACATCTGATCTGTACCTCTAGTACAGCCACGTTCTGCCACAGCAGTGTTTCAAGAAACACTCTGGATGCTCATGGAGAATTCCATTCCTGTGTACAATTTCTGACATGCAGACAGCATTTTCCAGCCAGTGGGCTGGCAGGAAAGCAGCAGTATGTACTATCATTGCATAGTTATTGGATGTAAACATTGCAGCATCAGTTATTGGGGGAGGACTTGGAATAAGTTACATTATGAAAAAGAATAAAAGTAATATTGTAAATAAAAACTGAGTGTAGATTTTGATTGATATGTTTTACTATATTTGCATTTAATACAAATTTTTTTTGTCATTCAGTTGGAAGAACAATGTTATGGCAGCCCCGAATGGTCAGTCATTTGTACTTGATTGATGTGGATATTTTGTTTTCCCAATACTGCAAGCTGCTAATACAGAGAAAAAATGAGGTTGCTTGTGCATTGTGAACAGAGAAAACCTCACCATGACTTAGGAAAGCTGTTCTGTCTCCAGGAAAAAGAATGAAACCCTCCCAAAGAGATCAGCTGATTACTTTCCTAAATAAAAATGTGCCAGGTTTTTCCTATTAAGACACTGGAGCTACACTTGAACCAGCATTTCACTATTAAATTGTTTCAGCTGTGGCTGCCTCTTATGGCCTTGCTGTGTATGCACTTACCTGTCTGCCTTCTCTGTCCCAGCACTGCTCCTCTCACCACCTTTCCCTCTGCAGCTCTCCGGGCTTTCCCACCAGCATCAGCCAAGCAGAGACTTGTGTTGGGAAGGTGATGGAATCCATTGCTGCAGACCCACCCTCCCAGGCAGAGGGCTCTGCTGCTTTCCCACTAGCCTCAAGGCAGGGCAGGGTAAAACTTCATCTGAGAGCTTTTCTCCACAGTGCAAGTGATCCAGAAAGGCCCAGGAAAAGCAGATCCAGCTGGCTGGCCTTGCATGGATCTCTGTCAACAGACACAATGAGAGGCTCTTCCACTCAGCCTCTTGCCTCACAAACCACATTTGGCTATCAGTTTCAATTATAAACAAATAGAAGACACAAAGATAAAACCATAAACTGAAATTTAACTATTCTATTTATAGCTCTGACTAGGAAAAATAAAATCAACTTCCATTCAGCAAAAGTGTGACACCTGATCATGAACATCTGATGAGGTTTGGTGTAACTCATCTACAGTGCTGAACTAAGACTCACCTGCTCAAAACAGGAAGAGTTCTACACAATCATGTCTATTTCTAACATTTATAAACATACTAAGAACTCGCAGATCCTTCTATGGAACAGCCTAAGAAGCTTCTCTGTATATACCAAAAAAGGCTCAGTGTAGTTTGTGTAGTGAATGTTTCAATTCAGGAGTCAGTTTTAGCAACATTTGATGTGACAGCATGAGCAGCAGTGGCACGAATAGTAGCAGGATGGTTTCAGCTCTCATCAGAGACAGAGAACAAAGGAAAAATCAAGGTTGGTGTCTTGGTTGACTCTGGTCAGCCCTTTGCTTTTTCAGGTTGGTATGGAAGGAGCTCCCAGAGATGACAGCAGAACACATCATAAGCAGACACTGAATCATAAAAAGGGCCACTGCATTTGTCTATTCAAACAAAATTTGGCCACTAAAATTCCTCAAAGACCAGCTTATTTCCATCTCAAAAGAAAGGCAGAAATCTGACCATTCTCCTACATGTCTTCAGAAACAACAGACTGAAGTTAGATCACAGACGGTTGTAATGGAACAACCGTCACATCTGGGAAGTTTTCCTCTGTTTCTAAACCACGCTGAAAATTTACCTACTCAAAGGGCAGTGCAGGTGCATTAGCAGCACTTGGCTTTGGAAGATGGAAACCACCTGAACAATGTTGAAACCACCAGTGTGCCTGTTCCCCTTCCATTTGCCCTGGAACAGGGAACCCCTCAAGATGAGCTCCATCACAGCCCCACTGTCCACAAGGTCCTGCAGTCACAAAGGAGGGTTCTTCTAAGCCAAGTAAAAAGGGATTCTCAACATCCTACAGGAATTCTCTGAGGCCAAGAAAACCAGATCTGCAAGTTGCCCTGTAGCTTTCTGCAACTGCTTTACACTTTACTCTCCCTTTCTTCCTGAAGAGGAGGCTGACAACTTGATTCCTGAAAGCACAATTTATAGGCCAGCTTCAAAGCTATAGGTCCTTCTAAGGCTCTGGTTGGGGAATTCACATCAAAGACAATGTGCACATGTTGTTCTGATGCCAGAGAGGACTGTTGGTAGAAATCTCTGTGGATTTGCTACAGTCCCCAGTACAGGGATTAAATTATGCACTGAAGCTGCCTCTGTAAACTGCAGGAGACAAAGAGAATAAGTGGCAGTGCAATATCTCATAATCAAAGCCTGGCACGGTTCTTTGCATCAGTCTCTTGGAAGCTGTCAGGGGATTAAGAGAAGGGACATGTGTCAAGGTACCCTCACTGAAGGGACAAAGCAGTAGCCGGTTTTGTTTGCTTTTAAGCCTGCCACCTCAACTGCACTTTTCTTGAGAAAAGTGTCTTAGTACACAGGTGTACAGCATCATGATGGGAGATAAAAGTTTCCTTAGTTTTTGCACAGTATTAAACACAATACTTGCTGATTTAATCCAATTTGAGTTAGTTTTGATGTGCAGGTGCAGAATCAGATCACACTGTCAGTTTGTGCTATTATCCATCCAAACCCAGTACCATTTATGGTGGCCATAGGAGGATCGAGTTGAGAGAAAAAAAAAAAGAAGACTGAAAAGTAACACACATCAGAAGAGGGTTGTATCATCAGTCAAGCAATACGGGGACTCACATAATTAAAAAAAAAACAAAAACCTTCTTTGCTTTTAACTTTTTCAAGGCTGCCAACCTTGACCTGCAGGGAAATTCTCTCAAACTGTTACCATAAATAAGTGTTCTCATCATAAGTATACTGAGCTACATTAAAAACTGCAGAAAGATTTGACAGTCTGAACTGACACCTTTTCACCCTCATATTTATTTCTAAAGCTTTAAAACAAATGCAAGTGAAGCTTTTGATCTTTATCCAATTGGAGTCAAGTCTCCTTCTTCCCATTACAGCTACTAAAATGTAGTAATTGTGACCTGATTCTAAGAATGCAGGACCAGAACATCTTTTTCCAAAAAATCTTTTTGTTTTGTTTTTGTGAAAAAGAGTTCTTAACATAAGAAATCAATACTGGACATAAAATATAAAATAGAATTTCCTCAGTAGTCAACTAATAGAGCCACTACACAGATCCCAAATTAAATTTGCGTATAAAACCATTTGCCAAGTAACTTTTAAACTATATTCAGTGAAGACAACTGAAGAGTCCTCAGGCATACAGAAGGCTTTGAGAATGCCAGAGGACACAGCTACACTCACAAGGTGTGGCTCTCTCTTCCCTCTGAGTCTCTGGAGTTGGAAAGGGAGCAGAGCAGCTAGTGCTGGTACTCATCTCAGCAGTGGTCCCTCAGCTATTGCCACTCCTTTGCCTTAGCACCAAACGAGGGAAGGATGGGATCAACAGGTATGTGTGTGCATTCTCACCCTCCAACATACACACAGACACACTACAACCATGCTGGGCAGCAGACAAAATCCTGTTCCATAGTGGGAAAAGATGCTCAAAGGCATAACGCAAAAGAAGCAGGCCAGAGACACAGAAGAATTGTTCAGCATGAATGAAGCAGTCAGGAAAGCAAACAATACAAGGGACACGCAGGATTAGCAGTGACTTTGTCCCTCAGAGTGGTACATCTCAACAGAACAAAACATAACCAGCTACTTCATTTCATTAAGGTTACATCTTGCATAGGCCATTGGCCAGGGTATCAAAAAACCTGCCGTGCTTGAAGAGATGAACCAGAGAACAGTGCTAAGGTTTTCCCAATTCTGGCTGTAGAGTAAGTCAAGCAAGCCCAAACCCCCTGATGGTGTAACAGAATTGAGGCCAGAGACCACAGCAGGGCACACAACACTCCATCCTGCACTGGCACGTCACCACTGCTGAGAGAGAAGCACAGACCTGGGCCAGGCTCTGTGCCAGGGAAGACCAGCCTTTTCCACCTCTGGCTCTGGGGCAAGCTGGTTTTACGGGGAAAAGGAGAGTTTTGCTCATACCAGTCATTCTTAGCTGCAATGGGCTTAAAGAACACAGCAGCAGCTGGCACTAAAAAAGACAATTGTTCCTGTTACCAAAACACTACCTGGAAACCATAAGTGATTCTCTCCTTTACCCAGTGCCACCATCAACACCCTACTCTCATCTATCCCTTTCACAAGGTATTTTTTGTACTAGGGCACTGGACTTACATTCTCATTTGCCAGTTATTCCTTTTTCTTACCTTCCTCACTACAATTTAGGCCAAGTTCTTTCATTAAAGCATTTTGCTTCTGTCTAAGTCCACATATTCAAGCTCCTTCAATCTTTTACAACCTCTCACATCAAATCACTAGGCTGTTCTCAACCCTCACCTTCACCCTCTTATTTACATCGTTTGCAGATATACCTCTACCATTATTTTCTACAAACTCACTACTAACCTTTGTTTTCCTAATTTCTTCCTTCCTTGAGTGCTTTCTTGTGCTACAGCTCCTGGTAAAGGCTTCTAGTGGACTACAAGAAAACATCATTGTCCTTCAAGCTTACATCTGGTAACACTATTTCATCAGTAACTGCTCCAAAAATGCTAATTGTCAGTGTTTTCTTTTGAGGCTGTTTCACACTCTGTGAAAGGCAACCAGGAGCACTGACAAGTACATAACAAGTAAACAGTGCTGAAATGTGCACATATGCAATACTTTCTGGTTTTCTTTATAATTAGCACTTGAAGTTACTCTGCCATCTCCCAGCAATTTCATGGCAGGCTTTATAATTTTACCTTCCTCTTAGGTTTACCTGTAGTTTAACATTCAAAGTGTGGTTGTTGCACAGAATACCTCAACAGACTTGTATTAAAAATGCTCTTTAAAATTCCGAACCTTTGAACTAAAGAAATATCTCAAGAAGTTTTCATGGAAAGTTCATTGCGGTGGGTTCAATTCAGCTACAGTTAGATGCACCTTTTCAAATAATGGAAAAAAAATGTAAAGGGGTCAGACCCAATCAATACAGTTGTTCAAACAGAATTTCAGGCACTGTGATGTGGGTATTTTTTTGTGCTCTTTCTTTGTACTGCTCCACTATGAAGAAAGGTTGCTTTTGCTAGTAGAGCAATAAAAATCTTAGCCTTTTGAATACAGCCAAATAACCAATGGGAATGTTTACTAGGTGTGGAAAATATAGCAATTTTTTCATGTTTTTCTTGTGCATGGCTTTGTTCTTTTTATAACTGTGCAATACATAGCTACACAGACACACACCTGCACAAGTGAACACTTTAAAACACCCACAGACACACATAAATCAGAGGGGTAACATCACATCATGCCTTCTGTATCTTCTCAGTTCTGACACCAACTAAATCTGGTCTTCCCTTCATATAACATCCAGAAGTTAATTGCTAAGACATATGGGAAATAGGTGGTTTTATAGAGGGGAACAGACATTGATATAAAATACATACACTTGAAGATCCAGAAATCAGATGAGTAAATGGTGCAAGTAAAAAAATAATGGTGTAAAGAGTACCAGAACACGACAGAAGCGCTCTGCTTTTTCAAAACACCAACCCCTCCCTCCAAAGGCTATGGGTTACCCAAGACCTTACTGGGCTTTAACAACTTTTTGAAACAGCAGCACACAATTCAGTAGCATCCTTCAGTAGCTTTTCGCTCCACACATAAGAAACATCCCAGAATAGAATCTCTTAATAGTTTCCGGAAAAAAACCTTCTTTCTAATTTTGGGCTTTTGGGGTAAGGTTTGTTTCAGTTTTGTTTGGGTTTTTTTGGGGGGAGGAGACAGGGGAGAGGAGGGAGCATTTCCCAACTGTTCCAGAACAGCCTGGATGCCTCTAAGCACTGCTAGTTGTCCAGTCCTTCAAAACAAACAGCTTAATAAAGATGTGCAAAGACAAGCAACAGCACAACTCAACAGGGTTCCCAGCAGCCCAGTAATGCACTCGAACTTAAAATAGTAGTGAAAAACAGAGGTGGGGGACGTTGTGCAAGTCCAAAAAGGTGACAGAGGTGCTACTTACGAGTATCAGGCTGTACTTTTATAAATGCAGCTGAGCAATAAAATTTTAGTAACTTCAGCTGAAGAAATTGGAAACAGATGTATATGGGAAGTCAGTCTGCATAGTTTTTGCTTGGTGTAACATTACAAAATACTAATTAAAAAACAGTGCATTCAAAACAACTGATAATGCTTTCTAATGAGTGAGTATAATTAGTCCCAAACACTTCACTGCTTAATAGGTAGAGGGGGGAAAAAAGAGCCACTTTCTGGCCAAAATGATATCGATCTGCAAGTAGACATAATTTTTTTGCTAGTTTTAATATTAGAGAGGAGCATGTAACACCTAGAGAAGAACATTTTGATTAAAAGAAACAGAACTGAAAAAGGAAATTAACCCAAACCAAACACTATCTGCATAGGAAAACTAGCCATTACTACTTAAAAACTACACTCATCCCTACAAAAGATGGTCACTAAGAACAACATTTCACATATTCAATAAAAAGTTTTGGAATAAAAATTACCTTCGTAATTTTTTCCCAAATATGAGATTAACTATGGACACGGACCAAAATCTTTAGAAGGACTGGTTTTACTGAAAACATTAATGATAAAATTATTTCGGGCAAAATCCTTCTCTTCCATGCAAGCTCGAACGAGCAGATTTTGTGTGTGTGATCAAAGGAAAGAAAACAAACATCTACCACAACCTGCAGCGCAGCAGTGCCTGCGCTCCTTTCCCTTCATTGCCAGGGCAGCAGACGGAATCTGGAGTCAAGGGATGCAGCAGCCCCTGGCCCCGCGGGCCCTGCTCCTCACCCACCAATTACGGCCACACACTCTTCCCTCCTGCATGACAAAGCTCCCGCAGAAAGAATGCCGTCCCACTGAACCACGGAACGCGCGGTCAAAGGCTCCTTTGTGTGCCTGAGAAACAAGGCAGCTCAGCTCTGAATTTCTGCCGCTCCCGTTTAAAGGTCAAGGACTCACAGCCTCAAATGTTCGGAGAGTCAACACTAAGCCCCAGAAACACTTCTAAACTGCTTCTTTACCTTCTGTTCCACAGATGAATTCTCAGAAGAATTAAATATTTCCAGTGGTCTCCATCAAACTGGCAACATTTGAGGGAACTGTTGGAAAATAAATCGCTGCACCAGAACCTGCTTTGGCAGGTGCCCCCCATTCCTCCCTTCGGCCAATTTCACATACAGTGCACCTGTGATGCCTCCAGGTTGGTTGATGGGTTGTTGTCAAATTAAAGTTACTTCTGATATTTTATAAGGGCTAAAAATGTGTCAGATAAACATCTGTATTTATGAGATTTAAAGGACAGTACTGGGGTTATTATGTTTAGGACACAACCCTGAAAAATCTTTATACTCAAGAATTAAGTCACATTTAATCAAGAGCTAAGAAAACATTTTTAAGCAAAATAATAATTTAAAAAAAATGAAGCATTGGTGTAGAGGGAACCTCATTCAAATTCCAGTGAAATAAGTGCAAAACTGGGGAATTTCACTGGCATTTGAATCAAAGAAGAGTAAAATATGGTAACAGCACAAATGACTGGATTTCCAACTATCTGGACACTGATAAGACAGCAGACAAGACAGAGGCAATAGGAGGAAGTTATGTTAATATTTTAATCTGTACATATACCATTTTCCAAACTGTTACATTTTATTTAAATTAATGTTTTCTTGCAAAATATTCATTTATGCTTTCAAAACTTTTTATAAAGGCAAAAATAAATCATTATTTTGGCAAAAGGTTTTGAAGTTGATACTGGCAGTATTGAGGTAAAATAGATTGTATTAGCTAAATATATACTTTTAAGAATATTTCTGAGTATAGTGTTAATATAATACGATTTGTCTTAAAGTCTGAAACACGAGGGTGAATTTCAAGGGGTTTTTAGCTATTACTCGAATACAAGAAATAAACAAGTTAGTGGTTTCACAAAATACTGCAGAAGTATTTCTCAGTTATTTCTCATCCAGAGCTGAACTCAGCTACTAATTACATAACATTGGGAAATTTTTGCATGTCTTGCATTCAATGCATACACAGGGTTTTTTCAAGTATAGTTGCAGCAATTCATTTAATCTTATTTTTTTCTTATGTTAACTACCTCACCCCCTGCCCTATGCAAAAGTACAACACTGAATTTCAAAAAGTTTGGCAGAGTTAAGCACCAGGTGAACATACATAAGAAATTAACAGGTGCCACATTACATTAGTTTTGCTGTTTCCAGGATAAATACTACTCAATTCATCATAATGGAAGGTTTATTGAAAAAAAAAATCAAAAGAAAAATACGTATTTGCTAGTAAAATGACATATTATAATTTTTTATTGCTTACTTCACATATTTTAATTAAAAGTCGTCTTCTTTCACATCTCAACTTTCAGAAAAAATAAAATTTGTTAGCTGTTTGTTATGGAGGGGGCAGCACTACTGTCAAGGGCAACCTAGCAAACTCTGTATTGATACCAGCAAGTTAACCATCTGGGATCAAAAAAGGAAATGGGAGTTAAAACTGGTTTTCAATACGGCTTTCTTGGGAAATTTAAGCTATACAGTGGTTACTAATATTTAGAAATTCAAGCTAAAATTCTTGCAATGTATTATTTAATGGGCAAAAAGGGTGGGTGATTAACTCCACAAAAATATTCAATCCAAAACACCCTTTCACCAAACCTGTCACCTGTGTTTGCTCTATCCATATGCTATGAATGTGCTCCTAGGTTTGTTCAAATGTACGTTTTTTTTCACAAAACTTTATAATGTGCATCTGAGCCTGAGGGGAAAGTAACAGTGTCTTTTAATATCTATGGAAGTAGTGTCTTTTAAAATGAATTCAGCCCTTGATTTAAAAAAAAAAAAAATCTAAAATACATTGTTCTAAAAATACATTGTCAGTATTTTACAGAGTTTATTAAAAGTGCCGTTTATTCGTATAAAAAGTGTGAACTAAACCGAAGTAAATAAAAAATGATTTGCAGTTCTCTTCATTTTCATAGAAAATCCCCCTATTATTTTCTGAACGTATTTCCAGAAGAACGTGTCATCAGCCGATGAGTATCTTCACAGAAAGCTGGTGAAGAACCTCCTCTGTCTTCCACACAGTGTCACTAGGTGGGATTTGCCTCGAGTCTTATGTCAGTGTTCACTTACTGCTTTGGCTAGTATGAAGTAAAATAAAACATGGTTAAATACTGAAACAAGTAAACCAATGCCAAGCAGCAAGCAATTTCTGGAAATATTTTTTTTTAAAGCCTGTTTTAAAGTTTGGCAGAATAAACAATTCATTCAGACACATTAAATTAACAATTATCTCACGATGCCACCGATGCTCAAATGCCTGTGCCCCCATATGGTGCTGGTTATCACAATTAGTTTATTTTTCTCAAGAAAAGGTACCTTTTTATATCTAATACTCTGGCACAGTACAATTATTTTTCTGGGTTCTTTAGACCACACATGGGTAGAGACCTCTTCACATGCAAAGATCTTACATGATAGCAAAAATCAGCTAGCATACCCCTGGATATAGAAGAATCAAGTGTTCTTCAGACACAGCAAAGATGGTAGAATCTGGTTCTCAGAAAGATAAACTGAACCAGAAAAGCAAACAGTCCTTTCCATCAAGGTCTGTAGAGGCTCTTAATGTCTATACATCTCTCTTGATGTAAATTTGTCATTTTTCACAGGTCTTGTAGAAGGACTTTCTGGTATGTGGCCATTTCCATTTAGATTTTTATTTTTTGCACGGATATTTGACTCAGATTAGTGGCAATTAAAACAAAGGTATCTAAAGATTAACACTATTTGAGTTACTCAATCAACCCTCTTTACTATTTCATCTGTGTTTTAACTTTTTCTTCAATTTCAGGCAATAAAATTAGGCCAAAAGACATCAGCAAGGTGAGAATAGTACCAAAGGAAACTATGGAGGTGTAGCAAGTGTGTTAACTAGGGACACACTTAGCAGTCATATGTAATATTTACGTGTTTTCCTATTTCAAATGCAGAAAACTCTGCAAGTCCTACCAGGAAGAGATACAAATAAGAACATTTCTTAATAAGGACAACGAGATTTGAAGTGGCAAAATAACCTAATCAGAGAAAAAAATAATCTTCTGTTAACACGATTCAATGAAAAACACATCAAAGGCACGATCGTAGCCAGACAAAAGATTACAGACTTAGTCATAAAGGGCCAAATTTTCAGCTCACCTCAGTCAGGACTCCGATGCCAGCTCATGTGTAAGGTAATCAGCCCAACAACGAGCCCCCTGCTCATACAACTGTGCTCTTTGGATTCTCTTGAGCAGCAACTTTATACACCACACACAGGCAAAACCACCTGTGCAGCCCACCAGTGGCCACCGGAGTACCCAGCAGTGGCCACCGGAGTACAAGCGGCTGCTGAAAATCTGGCCCCTTGCTACCAAGAGTACAGATGTCTCCTTCCTTCACCACAGTGAGATTGTGGAAGCACCTTATCTGTAGAGCGACAGGAGTTACCTGAAGACTTCAGAAGCCCACGTGTTAGCTCATTAGAAGCAATATTTACAGGAATGAAAGGTTTCAGAAAAAATAGCTGCATGCTTCCATTTGGATCCAATTTCGGTTTAGTAAAGATGTTAAAATTTAGCAAGCCACAGCACAGGCACAATGGCAAATCAGACATGCCGAGAGCAGTTAGTTCTTACTTTTAAGGTGTTTAAACAAATGTGTAGTGAAATCCATTGCTTAAGGGGGAGTGAGGTGGCTGTGGTACAGAAGGTGAGGGTGCTTTAGGTGGATAGGTCAACTGCTGAGCTAGAAGGGATCACATACAGGAATTAGGCTGCACAATCATTCATATTATCAGTGGAGTGACCTTACTTTTCTACCACATGAATAGAAAACTTGATTAGTAATACAATGAGGTGCTACACTATTTTAGTCACACAGAACACAGTCTAAATGACAACATTTCTTTCTAATTGCTGTTTTTTTCTATTTGTTGCACAAGTTATGCAAATAAACATTCTTGTTTGGATGAGAACACGGATAAGTATTCAAGTTTCACTGGAACATTATTAAAGCACACAACACTAATATACTCTCATCAGTCCTGCTTTTAAAACTGCAGTTCTGGACCTGCACCTGTATTTGCTAATTTGATTTCAAGACACCACTGAGGCTATACAGGTTTTCAGCATTTCCTTTGTCATATGCCAATGAGCAGATATAAAATAATGTAGAGAAAAATAATTTTAAAAATATTACATATGCATGTAACATTTTGCTTAGTACAGTGCATGATACAGTAAGTAAATTTTCAGATCTCAGCTTAAAAATACAGGATAAAGAACACAGTTATTAAAACTATCTTTGTTTCTAAATAAGAGTAATGATATAGTATTGGAAGACAATAATCATAAAACTGAAGAAACTCAATCTAAAATTCTGCTTTTACATATTGGAGGGCTGAAGATAGACATAATTCCAAAGCAAACAAATTAGGAAGTGACTTCTTAATACTCTTGTATTTTACTTTAATCTTCCAGATTCTTGGCATCGTTTCCATTTAGAAGATTGATTTCTTAGTAGGAACAGAGGAACTCTAAAATGCTGCTTTTCAAGGATTAGATAAATGTACAATTTATTTCAAAAGATTTATATTAGCATAGCACCTTAACATAACTGCTTCCCCCTGAAAAATGGGAGAAGTTAAGCTTCACAGTCTTTTTCATAAGCAAACCTTCGTAAAAAAATCTAGATAATTAGTTTCAGATTTTCATATATTGTCTGCTTCATCATCAAGGAGCAACTGACAACTCACACTTCAAAAATCAAACTACAAAAATAAGAATGTGAAGGAATCTGTAATATGAGACTAAATGAGAATGTACAATCAGCTGTGCAAAGTGTCAAATGCTTTTCTTTTTAATCACCTTAGATAATCAGAAAATATGCCATAAATAAAAACCTGAACTCTTTTCTGGTTTGTAGATTTTCTATTAAAACCATCCCACTCTGACTTCTTCCTTTTCTTTTTTTTTTTTTTTTAATACTATGAAAGGTGTTTGCTTTTAAAAGAGTAAGTAATAATTGATATCAAAGCAAGACATGTTTCAATACGTGAATTTCTGAGATACAAGTGTGGCAAGGAAACCTGTGCACAGACATAATGTTTTGGGATTCCTTAAAAACCTCAGTCCTTAGCTACTGTGTTAGGACTTCTTTAAGTGTCTGAATGACAAAAGAGGCAGCTGCTATACTTCACAAAGAAAATTAAACTAAAAATTATCTCACAACTGACTGCAAATGTTTTGAAGTTGCATTTAAACATTTCAGTGCCAATATATATTTTAAAAAACTAAAGAATTAAGGAGATTTCTGTGGTTACATATACCTAAAAATATGTGACGGTCACACTTTTGAAATAATTACAATTTAAAAAGTTAAAATATAAATTAAAAAGCTATAGTAATGAAAACACTTCTACATTCACCATACAATATTTAAAAATCAAACCTATTTCAGTTCTGTACAGTTGCTACAAATTCAGACATACCCAGAAGTAAGTTACCTGGCCCCATGAAGACCTTTAGGTAGGGAAGACACTCTGCTCTTGTCGTACAGACACAGAGTATGGGCTGCATTCATCTGGGCTGATCCTAGCTTTAGTGTGACCTTTTCCCAGCAGAAGCTAGAACTCACGTGGCAAAATGCTGCACTGGCTCATACCTCATGAAACACGAAGCATCAGAGTCCCTGTTACAAGGACCTGGTCACTAGAATTGGGACCAGACCGCCTGTGGAAAAGCCCTTCTGATACACCGGTGGCCTGAAGGTCCACGAGATTATTCCTTGATATACTCTCATGATTTTACAATGCTGTTTTTTTGTTTGTTTGGTTTGGTTTTATAACATCTTGTCTCCTCAGTCAATCATTTTACCCCTGGCAGTCAGTTAAATTACCCACAGAAACTCTCTGAAGTCTCAAGATTCCTATCTTGAAAATGTATTCCATCGCCTCAAAATCCCATTCCCCTTAGGTTTAGCTGGCACTGCATCCCTGAGTATACAGCCACATTCAATCAGCAGTCTGTTACTGTAGATGCGTGTTACGCATCTGGATATTGGAATAATCTGTCTTTAATGGGAAGGTCTTAAGGGTTGCTGAGGCAAGTGCCATAAGTTTAAACTGACAACTTCAGATGAGAAATGTGCACATTTTTTCTCCATCATAGTTGAAGTTCCCATTATTTCCATTCTCCACTGGAACAGTGAATGGTGCCAGTTATAAATGGCCAGTCAGATACTTGCTGGAATCGCTGCTGCATGGATTACTGTGTGATACAAATCTCTTGACATTTCTTACTTATTTCAACTATAAAGCAATCAAGAGTGAAATTATCACTTTTAGTAACATATTGCAGAGGATCTATTAATTTCCAGGCATCAAGTAGAATTCATGCACAGCTGTCTTGCTCTGACCTCTAATCTTGGTCACCAGACGGAAACGTGCCAATCCCTGTTTTACAAGGTCTTTTTCAGCCTGTTGTCACACAGCTCAAGCTGAAAATGATTGTACTCTAATCTCAGTCACTGGACCAGGGATTCTTTAGGTTAAGAAAAACTATTTTAAATCCTTTTCTCTTGATTTTTTAAAGTCACAAATCAATTTTCTTTTTAAAAATATAGAAATATCTAATTTAACATAATTATAGAGAATTCAGTTAAAATGTTATTTTTTTAGCACTATTAGTTAGAGCAAGTTTCCAAGTTCTGAACTTATTGATCATACTATTTTGCCCCCTTCATCCAGTCCACTGGGGGCCAAATACTCAATGTAAATTGTTAGACTCTCTACATTTGTTACTTATACACACTTTTCGCTATTTTGAATATGAATGACTAAAACTTTCTCTTATGCCAGGAGTTCAGCAACAACCCCATACAACTTTGGAAGCTGGTAAGAAATAGCTGTTATTTCGTAAATAACTAAGCATTACCTGCTACCTCCTTGCTCCTCTGAGAGGCTTCAGAAGCCAAAGCGTATGATATGGTAATGATGCGCTCCTGCTCTTGCAGCTGTGAATCTAAATCAATCGAGTTGTGTTTGTCCTGGGCTACAGTAGGCTGTAGATTGTGCATACTAGTGGGAAAGTGAAAAACAACATTAACATTTGCAAACATAAAGAATCCACCATGCAGATAAGAACAAGCTTGAATTCGTACGGCAGTTTTCAGATCTCATCTATCAAGCTCCGTACTTTATTGCTGTTCTTTAAAGTAGTGTCACTATTGCATGTAAATGCCTACAGCATACAAAGAAAAATGACACAGCCATTACATGTTCAGTCACAATTTCTGCAAAGCCTTAAGTAGCCCTTTGTTGGAAATACACTGCTAACAAAAGCACTACAAAAATTCTATTTATTTGAAGTTGCCAGTAAAATTTCTTGCTAGTGCTCAGATGAAAAGGCATATAACCTGGCAGCCCTCAGGAACAGCCTCTTCAATTGTCTTCCAGAAACAGCAGATACTTGACATATCAAATTCTTGAAACCAAATGTTTTAGCTGACTCTACATTAGCTGTAAGTAGCCAAAAGTGTTCTTTCACAACTCCAGCTCTCACGCTGACTTTTCTTCTGCTTTTGGCCAGACTTGTGCCTTTCCTTCCTCCTCATTCTCATCTACAAGTTGCTTAGTAAGGACTCACTACTATTTTAGGACTCTCTCAACAAGAAAATGGACATATACAAAATTTGTTTTAAAAATTTGCTTTAAAAATCAGCTTTAAGTATACTACACAAATTCAGAGTTCATTTTCCAAAAGCTAAAAGTTGTGTTTAGATAATTCATAGGAATTAAGACTGTTGCATCGAGTTAGTTCTCAATGTTCATCATGAGCCTCTATGTAAGATTTAGAAAAAACCCCAAAACCTGACCTTGATTTAGTAAGAATATTCTTTATCTTTTCTGCTTTACGCTGCCTTGCTGCCAGTTCTTCTGTAGAAAGAGGCTCTTCTGGCTCTAGTTCAACATAACGTTCTGGAATTACAACCTTCTCGGGTTTTGACAGCTATGGAAAGAAAGCAAGCATCATTTTTTTAATAACAAATGCCTAAAAACCTTGAGATAAATTCTCCGCAATGGGAGAACACAGTGAAAAGAATAAAGCATGGATTTTCACAGTCAGTACATGTACCTGATGCTAAACACTCCCTCTGGATATGAGTGGATGCCCTTTTAACTGTGTCTTTTCCCTCTGATTTGTTTTACTTTAGAAGATAGATCAAACAAATATTAAAGGGGATTACAAAAGAAATCAAAATCAACAGGGAACCTTTCTTCAGCTCAGGCTTAGAGCCCAAAGTAGGGCTCTGACTAAAGGTGTTACAGTAAAAAGAAGCAACCACTACAAGACTGACTGAACAACCTGAGATGTTAATGTCATTTTTATGTCGTGAAAGCAAGAACTTCTACAACTGAAAGGAAATACCACCTAAAGTTTTAACCTATGGTATCGTTCTTTTGAGACTGCATAATCTTCTGGGAGCAGTGGAGGAAAAAAAAAAAGGCAAACAGAAATACACTACACTGTGCAATTGTAACAACATGCTGCATAGATGTACTTCTGCAGACTGAAAATTTCTATATAATTGCATGAAAGCTAGCAACAAGTTTTTGTTAGGATCAATTACTTTGGGGAAAAATTTTTCTGCACAAAAGAGACCTAAATCACTCAATGAAAACACAGTTTAGAAACGGACTTTGAAAACCAATGCTTATAACACAGAACAGACTGCTTTTGAAAAACAAAAATAAAGGGTGTGTAAATAAATAGAAATAAGTAAAGGAGAACTATTTTTGATTCTTCTCACTGGATTTTTGTTAAAACACTCATGAAGCAATGAGTTTCCAAAATTCAAGGTTTTCAATAAAAATAATCCTAAATTTTTTCACCACTGAACTTAGTTCACACTAATTCAATTATGTAAAGTGGCCTAAACCAACTCCCATTGATTAGGCTCAGTAATTCATAGGCAATCATAGGCCAAAAGCATACAAACTGCCATTTATGTCCATATTAAAATCACAGCCTCAAATTTTTATACTTCCTTCTCAGGAAACCCAAAGCCAATGCTTCCTAAAAAAATCCTCCTGTTTCCACTACACTTCCTTACTTTGAAATCCAACTCCCCTCTGGAGCTATCTATGTATCTATCTACATATATATAGTTGTGTTTGGGTTTTTTTTAAATGTCTATATCTATCTCCCTACTATAACTAACCCAGATCAGAATATCCTGCCATTTTCAGAATAACAAACGCAGTTAACATGTGAACAGCTCAGTGCATTTCCTTCTGAGGCACTGAAGTACCTAAAGTACAGAAATGGAAAAGGACAACAAGACCAGGATGGGGCTCTTAGCAACCTGGTCTAGTGGGAGGTGTCCCTGCCCATGGTAGAAGAGTTGGAACTAGATGATCTTCAAGATCCCTTCCAACCCAAACCATTCTATGATTCTATGACTCTAACCTGGGTACACTGAAAAAGAAGCTTTATCCTCAGAGCTTCAGACCTGTTTCAGTTACTCTGAAGTAGGACAGAAATGCCTGTAAGCAAAAATGTTTCCTATCCAAGGCTTAAATTAAGGAAGTTCAAAGTGATTCCCATTGCCCTGGGGGTCTTCAGGAAAAGAAAAATTAATAGCAGAGTACAACAAGGAAATAAAACAAAAGTATTTTTTTCTATTTCTGAAGTTTACAAAAGCACTGCATTTTCTGTAAAAATGATACAAAGATTAACTGAAAGATACATTCATTCACAGAGATCAACAGACAATGGCTCACAGAGTAAACCTTTTACAAATATCTCTCTCTATAAAATGATACTCTGTCAACAGCTTTCAGAAGAGTAGAGGTGCTTACCAGTCTAATTATCATTAATAATTTTAGTGATCTGCTATCTACCATGGCATTTAACACAACACAGTGTACTTCCTGAAACCTTTACACTTGCTGTATTCTTTCTTTCCCACCAGATGGCTCAATCGCATTTCAAACTAACACTTAATTCGGCTACCGAAGCTGAAAAAAGATCTTGTGTCCAGAACACCAACCAAGTCATTCCAAAAGCTGACAGAAAGCTGTTTTCTGTTCAAGCCCGAATAAAACAGTGCTCTCTCTTCTCTGTCACCTTTTGCCAGTCAAAATGAAGAAGAGTAAGGTAGCTCTGGGGAACTTTTTCTTCATTCCTGTTTCTCATTTTCAAATACTCTTCATGTCATCTTTTCATCTTCTTTCCCCAATTAATATAACTTTCCCTAACTGAATCACATATTTAAACATATTTAAACAGAATAGGAGGCAAAAAATTATGATTGTTACCTCTCTGCTGATATCTAAATCATAGTCTTGAGGCTCCAGGTCTGTCTCTGTCACTGCTACAGGCTGAACTTTTAACCATTCATTTTCATCCTTCTCTTCTCCACGAATTGCCCTCTCAAGTAACTGCAAATCAAATTCTTGCTCTCGTTTCCACTGGTAATAGATACAAAACAATTAACAGCATTCAACCACACTGCCAAATTCACTGTATAGCAATGTACATAACTACTGCTGCAAATGCTACATTGCTGAAAGAATGCGCAGAGCAAACCCCTTAACTGACAAGAGAAAGAAAATACAGCTGTATTTCTTGGCACACACGGTTGGGAGTTTTCCTCTCTACCTGTGCTGCATGGAATTTGGAGTATTGTTTAATTTTACAAGTAATGTTCAGCGGTATTAGATTCTAAGAAATATATCACAATTTCACATTTGCTGATGAACATGGAACTAGCCACACACACACATCTTTGGAAGCACACGTGTCAATACCTGTGAGCCTACAGACTGACAGACTAGTCCTAGGCATTCTAAGGAGACAGTGCTGTGTGGTTTTGAATCACTACACAGAATGGGTACTTACATTGCAGCTTGAGAATCACAACTTGATAATTTTATGTATCTTTTTAGAATAATACCTACTGTTTAAAGTTGATAATATTTTACATACTGGTATTAACTTGCCTTGAAATAAAAAGTGCTTAACTTCTAAGCTCTTCTGACTTCATTAAAAGCAGAATCTAGCTACCTGCAAAAATCTTTCACACAGTCTTTATAAGGTAAATACTTAGCCATATAAATTAGAAATATTAAATATTTATCAATATGAAATATTTAAATTTAGCATATTTAAATTAAGCAGGATAATTTAGAGTTCCCAAATCACTTCACAGTACCTCCGTCACAACTACACACCATACAGCTACATATAAACTCACACTTAAGGACACTACCGACACCTTTGTGTTCAAAAAATTAAGTTCAGTGGTAGCATCATTCCATCCAGTAGATCTGAGCAACTTAAGCAGTGCAGTGTGAAAAAGAAGGGACAAAAGGAACAACAACAAAAAAAATTATCTCCTCAAGCATTTGAGGCAATCAGTAGGAGAATGTGCCACTTTTATGTTTCTTAAAAATATCTCCAGTATTTCTGGTACAAATCTTTGGCTTGTTTTGGCTGAAGTCTGAACTCCACATGAAGTCCTTAGGCTTCATTGTGCTACTTGCATTAATAAATCTAATTGAAACCTATTCATGCACAAGCTCTCAGTATTCACTCAGAAGATAAGTATCTTCCACATATATTAAAGAAGTTAAATAGCTAAAAGGCAATTATACCTCAAAAATTGAGATGTTTCTTTACAGAATTCAAAAGAGAAAAAAAAAGTTTTCTCATGAGTACTCCAAACTCCTTCTACTCATATTCGAACCAGGCCTGATTGACATAGTATATTTTAAATACACAGTATCATTTTCAAGTTATTATATATAGGTAAGAAAAACATCAAACCATTCTTATGAAGCAGGATTTTTATTGGCTTTGATGTTGCAACTTTTACATTAAAAAGGCAATGTATATAACAAATGAATTCAGGTACTGTGATCAATACTTGAAATGTCATACTACATTTGAGAGCTGACCAATTAAAAATCAGAACTACACATACAATTTATGTCTAAAGCAAAAGTTACATACTGAGCAGCACTTGAATTATACATTTAACTGTTTGCCATTTTGGCTGCTAAATAATTGTAATGCTGTAAGTAGTTGTGCTATCAAACATGCTTTTGCATATCAAAGCCCTATAGGTACAAGAGATGACCTCTACAAAACATTACTAGGGCTGAAAAACTATTTTAATTCTTTACAGCAAGAAAAAGACCAAGATGGCACCCAAATTTATAAATAAAGTGTTTGCCACAAATGTTAATAACGAGTGTTACGAAAATGTTTAAATTCGATTTGTGTATGTTATGCGAGTCAAGAAACATACAAAGCCCAGATTTATTTCTTCTAATTAAAATATGAAAATAACAGTGATAATATAGTACTTAAGTTCCCAAACATTATGCACTGTCTTTAAAGAATTTTTGATAGCAAAACAGAAGACAAAATGGATGAATGTCTCCAAGCAGTGCACTCGTATTTACTGGGAAAGTAAATACAAATAACTGGCTGTAAATTAGTGCTACAGAACAGTGGGAATGAAAAGCTGAATATTATAAGGTTTTTTTTAATGCCAGCAATTGACACACATGTACTAAATGCAATTAAGCCTGGTAAAAATTGAGTAGTCCAGTTAGAAATTTTAAAGTAACTACAAAATTCTGCAAATTAAAAACAAGCAAACAAAAAAAGAGGCATTAGGTATGATGAGTGACAAATCTAAAAGCAAGAGATCTTGTGCAATGAATTAGGTAAAACAATGTGATCGTTCTAAAGCTCTAGTGGACCAAATAAAAAAATAAATTAAAAGACCACAGCATAAGTGCAATTACAGTACAATCTTGGTTTAGCACCAAGTGAGCAACTGGGTAACTTCACCAATTAGAATTGCTTTGGTTAGTATCCAAAATGTATCATTATAAACTTATTGTCTGTACAGCATTTATTCTCAGAACGCAACAAAAATACTTTTCTTCAGCAGCTTAAATTTGAGCCTTATTAGAATATTCCATGTTTTGAGCTTTAAAGAGGAGTTTGTATCAATTAAAACAAATTAATTCTTACATAAATTCCTAATCAGCATGATTAGATTTTAAAACTGATTATCCATTTATCATCTTTTAAAAAAAAAAAACACAAACACCACCTTGGTCTGATATTACCATGACTATCTCACAGACTAATTTATGAATTAAAAAGAAAAATACCCATGGTGAATAAGAACATTCTAAAAGGCCCATTCCATTATGAAGCAGTTTTAAAACTGTACACGCTTCTTACACTTTCTAAATACAATTCCAAGGATAAAAACTCATGGCTCTGAAGTCACCCCAATAAACTGGCATCTCCACTCATCACTCTAACCTCTGACCAACTTACCTGCTGAACATTCAACATTTACCATTACTACAGGTAAAAAAGATCACCTGTTACTCACACTCTCTGAACTCATTTGAAACCGTGTAACACTAATTTAATTGGACTAGGAGCATCACACACACTCAAGTGAAAGTGCTTGCCAGGAAAAAAGAATAAATCCAAAGATATTTTTAGTTTAGTCCTTTTAAGGCATATCTAACATACTGAGCCTACGTCTGCAGAAACGGGCCTGATGAAAGACCGAGATGAAACAGACTGCCTTTCTCCTTGGCTAAGAGTCCTCTTGCGTTCACGAACTAATGCCTTCTGATGTCGCTTCATTCTTTCTAGTTGTTCCTCTGCACTCATCTTGCCTCTTTGGTGGTCTCCAGAGTATAAACGTTCCAAGGCACTCTTTGGTCTCTCCTGTAGAAGTCACAAGGCACACAAAACACGTTTTGTAATTAATACTTTATAAAAAGTATACAAAAAATGAACTCTCTCTGCTACCTTATTAGTAAATTTTACTCTATTTCCTTTGCATTTATTTGCATGTTTTGACTCTGTGTTTTCTATTAGTAGTGCTGATTTTTGGTTCTAAACCTTGTTTTGTAGATCTATTTGAAATGCAGTAAGTTGTTTGTCTGTTTTCCAGTTCATTTAAGGAAGTGAAAAATTGGAGATTTTAATAGATTGCAGCTCTTGGTCCTCTCCCATCTACCGCAGTCCCACTCCCTGCTATGTAAAATGTATTTTGGGCTTAACTATTTTCAACAGTTCAGACATTTGCCTTCAGATGTTTATTTAAAACTTACCTTGGACCTATCCCTTCGAAGTGTTGCAAACGATGAAATGGTAGATGACTGGTGCAATCTGGAAGTTGATCCAGACAAACCTTTATAAGGAAAAAGAGAATGCCTTAAACCAAATGACAGGCAAGATAAGACAAGCATCAGATTTTTTTTACATTGTTATCATGTTTCTATGACATTCTGGTTACCATCTTAGCCTGCATTTCACATTTTGCAGTTCAGAAGATCATGACACGCATGAAATTTCATTTCAGCCAAACATAATGTGTTTCAGGTCACTACTGATCAAAATTCAGAAAGACCTACAATAATTTAGAAGCTTACATTAAATGAGGGATGGGGTGAAATCAGCTGTACCACAGCTAAACTGTACAAATAATCACCTCTATGAAGAAAATCAAACCTTAACATTCACAGTTAGAAAGGAAAGAAATAAGAAGGGAATGGCTAAGAATTTGCTTTTGCCCAAATATCACGTCTATCCTCATTTGTGAAATAGTTACAGGAGTGTAGCACAGTGGGGATGGAGTGTCAAGTCAGATGTAATATCTGAGGGCTTTAAATTCATATTCTTTATCAGTTACATTTCAATGGCAATATAAGTGTTTGTAAAAGATCACATAGAAATTATGAGGAAAAATAACTCTGAATATAAGAGATTCTAACAGCTAATTCCATGTTTTGCTATGGGTTTTTTTAAGCCTTATATGTTAAGTTGCTTTGCAAAAGGCTGGTTGACTGTAACAGCACCATTAAAATGCATAAAATCTCTAGACTTTCACAGCACTGTATAGTTAATCTAAAAATAGTGATCTGACGATAAATGTCATCTCCAGAACATTCTAGGAGAGAAAAGCTCCTATACAGACAGTACTGTTAAAAATCAACCACATAAATTCCTGGCTTACCACGGGTAGGTAATGTCTGGTATCCACTGTCAGGGTTTATTAAAGCACTGGAAGGATGGCTGAGGTCACCCCCTATCATTGCTAGTTCTGGTTCACTCATGTATGAACGCAGTTCCACCTATACAGAAAAATACTCATCAGCTCAAATGAAATCAGAGACAGAAGGTCTTAATAATCTTAAAACAAATCCTAAAGCTTTGTTTCTGGATTACTAAATTTCTCTCCGCTACTATTATATAGCATAGATCTCTCCTTGTCATTATCATCTCTATGCCATTATATATCATTAATACCAGACCTACAGGTCCATATATTTCAGAGACAATAGTATCTTACAGGTGCACATATCTTTAAAATGCAGGGGTATAGGTGTATGAGCGCTCACCCTATAATCTCCATTTACATACTGTCCGAGTTCTCTGTCTCTCTTTCTCTCATCTGACTGACGTTTCAGGCCCCGCACTGATGTGTGTCTGATGACAGTGGCTTCTCTCGGGAGAGGTGGAACAGCTGGTGGCTGATCATCAGGACTGTACAGCTGTGGGAGAGGAGGTCTGGGTGGTGCTTCATCTTCCTGGCAACAGGAAAGCATAGGGATTTGGCAAACAGTCTCAAAACAGTCTGGCACAAACTGAAAGTCCATTGCATTATATGTTATTTGTGACTGATCTAGCATCTTGTCCTCTGCCCACACCAGGAGCTTGAGGCTTTAAAACCCAAATGAGGCCCAAGAAATCAACCACAAAGTATTCCCAAGAAAGGCTGTGAATTAATAAGTTCTAAAACAGTATATGGCCACTGTACATAAAGCTCCAGGTTACACATATGTATTCTGCTGTAAGTACTACTGCTCAGATTCAATACAAACATCTTAAGTGCCTCCCTATTGTGCCTCCACACTGTGTGCACTTGGTAACCATGACACTTTCACTGTTCCTGCCAGAAGGAAAAGGAAACACTGGTGAATGAATCGCGGAAGAGCAGTACTCACAACCTTTGGCTTGAGCTTAACTGGTGACTGAAGAGGTGGCTCGATTTTTTTCAGCTGCTGTGCTTGGTGCTGTGTTCTGGTCTGGAAATAAGGCTGTGGATACAGCCTAACCTCCAGAGGGGATTTAACCGGGCTGCGTGGAGGGCTCTGTGCAACTGGAAGTTTGCTCTCCGCAGTTGCAAGGGAAGCTGGTAAGGAAGGCACTGAAGACTGAGAAAATGAAGGCACTGTTTTTCTCTCTAGGGGAAAAACAGACAAACATGTTAAGTGTTGTTTCCTACCAATAATGTTCATAAGAATAGCAATTAACATACTTAGACTTCACAAAATAGCCCTTGTCCTCTGCACGTTGCTTTGAACACAAATGGGAGTTTTGGACATAAAAAATGTTTGTTCGTTACATTGTAACAAGAGTGGAAAACATTTTTTGATGAGGATCTAGTAAGTCTTTCAGGCCAAAAATAAAACCACACAGTTTAATATCATCCAGTAAAATTCCTTGTAGAGCACAGTGGGAGGGAAGGAAGGAAAAGCCTGAGAGTCATATGAAATCAGTTCATAGGCTGTATCTGGCCCCATGCCAGAGATTCCTTAAGATGCCTACAGATCTAGACAAGGCTAGGCACTGACAGCCATACCATAAATAAAATGAGAGCTCACCATCTCGTAACTATTTATCTCTGTATGCAAAAGATGAGCAAAGATACTTGAAACATGGAGTGGATTTACAGTAGGCGTTAACAGTCTCTTGCCATCCCAATGCGTTGTCTTTCCTTTGAAATGTAATAATGCAACTGAAATGCAGACCACACACACCTTCCCTTCCTCTCTTCCACTATGCTATTGCTCTGCCCACCAAACACCTTCCTGAAGAGGGAGGGGGAAGGCAACTGCAGCAAGGGCAGCTGGGCAGCATCCAAGGGGAAAAGAAAAAACCAACCAAACACCCCAGAGAAAAACACAGAGAGGAGCTTCTGGGCAGAATACAGAACAGATACTATGCTGGCATGAGCCTGGCATATGTCAGAAACTCCTTCCGCAACTTGAAGAACTTAGCCCATTATTGTTACTGTTGTTCCTTTTTTTCATGCCTTGTTACATTTTACTGCCATCAGTATGTGGAAACAAACAACAAAAAACCTTGTCACCTCAAGAAAAGAAACACCAAATTAATGTGCTCAATTAACAGAGATTTCTGACACATCCAATAGAATTAACTGGATTTTCTGCAGTAGAACAAACTTTCAGACTATTTTCACAGACCCAAAGATTCAGTTGCATTTGTACATTTTTTTATTTTTTCATCATGTTCTCCTTACCTGGATTCTTAATAGAGTCTACTATGGTTTTGTAGTTTGCTTTATTTGCACTCAAGCCAGCTGTAACATCTTCAATTCTCCACAAGTCTTTTTGTATTTGTGTTTTCTCCTGATGTTTGTAGTAAAAGAAAAAAAAATCAACTTTACCTCATTTTTAATTTACTATGGGTTTATCCTTCTTTCCTTAACCACATCTAAATTAGTGGTTCAGAACTTACATGAAAACTTAGGAGTCCAGAAATTAGTTAAATAATTATTTTAAAATAATAATTAAAAAACCCCCAAACACAACACCAACCAACTTATCTTGCCCATAAAATTTATTAGAGCATTTTCTGAATCCTGGAAGACTTCCTATTGAACACTAGGGAAAAGAGACACTTCTACATTTTTTTTCTACAATATTATTCAGGCTAGAAAAACCTAGTTCAATGTTCTACATAAAATAAGCTTACACAATCTTTTCATTTGAACTTTGTCCTTAAATCCTATAACTAACATACTTAAGATTGCTACAGCAGCCTTACGAATCTCATCTTAATACTTTTAGGTGAAATGTCCAATATTAAAAAGGCAAAAAATTATTATCATCTCCCTGAATCTTGCCATAAACTTCCCAATGGCTTTTAATGGGTGAAACACAAAACCCATACAAACTTAGAAGGGCTGACAATTTTAATTTCTGCTTATATTTGGGTTGTTAGGCCTACTGGACATGATGTATTATAGGCTGAAACAATATATTGCTGCTGTTACAGGATTTGGTCTCATTCACATCCTAATTGTTTTACCACAGCTTTCCAGGAGGAAAGAAAGGGAAACTCTGTCTACAGTCTGGACTCTGCTTTTGACTGTTATCTTGCAGAGCCTTGGCTATTGAAGCCTCCACTTCAGCCATTCCAATCATCATAAATAGTTATGGTCATCTAATTAATCAAAGCCTGGTAACTCTGCCTTCAAAAATTTGCATCAAGAATAAACCTAGTAAAACCAGTACTATTAAAGAAAGCAGAAGGCAGTGAAACACTTTAGTTAAGAATTGCTTACAAGCTGCTCTGTAGAGATCCATCAGTTGGCATGAGCTTCAAAATAGCTACTAATTAATCCTATAAGCCTGAAAGTGAAAAAAACTTCAGTAAAAGCTGTTACACCTCATAGAGCTAAGGAAGGCATATAAATTGCTTTCCACTTTCTGTCTTAGATCAGGAAATATGTTCAGCCAGGTTACAGATCAGCAAACAGGATGCCAAGAACACAAACATTTAAATGATGGAGAACGTTATTTGCCTGTAGTAAACTCACTCGATAGATGGGACATATCTTGAAAGATTGTCAGGACACAAACTATAAATTTGCACATTTCATTTCATTTTTCTGAGATTAATCATACTACAAGGAACCAAATGATGGATTTACAATAATCAAGCCTCAGAATGGCTGAAAAAACCACTAGATGTACCAAAAATCCTGCTTCTGAAACCACTCAGAAAACATTGATTAGCAATGTAGAAAAGCCAGATCTTTTAAAATTATTTCTCTCCATAACTTAAATATTGATGTGGAGAGAATATTTTAGATCTAAAGTGGACTAGGTCTGAACAATAAGCAGATGAATTCATTTTAAAATTATGAAAGCCAAGATTGCTCTTTACAAAAGGGTATAAATATACTTTATGGGCCAGCATGAAAAAGTAACCTGGATAGAGAATTCAATTTCTCTAACTTCCTCTACACAGAAACATAATTTAGAATGACTTACAAAACCAGAGGAGAAACACTCACCCACTAAGAAGTTATCACTGTTAAAATAGCCCACGTCAGTTAATTTCAGCATGCCCAGATCCTCTCCAGCCCATAAGCAAAAGACAATGAAGCTATACTCTTAAAAGCCTGATTCTTTAAAACACTTTTTAAAAGGATTTACTATGACCGAGCTGCCTAAAACATTTAGGTTTTGATCTCTAAATTAATGCTATATAGAAACAATATTAGTGGTTTCCTACAGAAATCTGAGCCCACAAATTTACAGAATTTTTAATAATATTCTATGAAGACTGTGTTTTTTTGAATGCCATGTGTGTATTAATTTAGTGCTATTGGAAAATGCTAGATAAACAATCTTCAGTCTACATACCCTTGGGCAGAGATCATAAAAATTCTAACTATTATGGGTACTTCAAGTGAGACTTCTTTGAAGGAATATAATTTGAAGAATATTCGGTACTTTCCGAAAAAATCAGTTCCCCTTAGTAACTCCAAAATAGGTATTCAGTAATATTTTTTTAGATGAGCCAAATATATACATGCATACTAATATATACATACATATGTAAGTATACACACACAGAACTGATAACGTGCTTTCTACGTGTATTTATAATTATGCACGTATGTGATATCAGATGATAATCAAACTGAATTAATATTTTTTCCTGTGCAAACTGTATTCCCTTCCATACATACTGGTGAATCCCATGCCACACATCCAGTATTTTAAGCATGCTCAATGCTCAACTGGAAATTACTTGTTAAAGTAATCTAACAATGTACATTTTGTTTAAACCTGTAATTTTCCTTTGTTAAACAAAATAACTTCATAGAGGGACTATTTTATTCTAAAATCCCCCTGGGATTTTTTTGAAATACATATTCTACAGCTGAGCTTAATTACATAATATTCTACCTCCAGAAACTGAATCACTCTCCCATTCCCCAGAATTAAAAGTAAATGAAAATAGACTTTGAAGACTGATGCACTCAAAAAAAGTTTTACAACTCTTGCTTTGATACAAAACATTTATCCATTAATAGTAAAAATAAACAGGCTTCAATTCATATCTGATCAGATATTTATTGCAAATAAATAAATTGAACTAGTGCCTTCTTTTGGCCCAGATTATTTGGAAAAACAGACCAAAATTTGAGCAAAATGTGTACATTAGCTTTCCTCCTTGTGTTTTGTTCTGCTTAAAAAAAGGAAATACAATCCAGTCTGCATTCCTTGCTCCAAGAATAAAGTCACCAGTTGTAAGCAGGTATGTAGAAATAATCTGGTATGCCACATCCAGTTCAGCAAAGAGAATAACTTAGCTTCAAACAAAGCTTCTTTTTAAGATTCGAAACTGAATAATTGATTTAAAACTGAGATGCCTTTCAATTACTGATGGCTGTTAAAACACTTATTCCACTTCACAAAACAATCTGCAGAGATAAATCTTCCACAAATAGAAGAACATGACAAAGAACAAGTAATGATGATAACAATCCAGTGACTGATGATCTTAAAAATGGATAAAGAAGCCAACAATGTCAGATCAAATAAATGGAAGACTAAGAAGTCCTGCATAGTCTTATAAATTAAATACGTTATCAATGTCAAGATGTCAGCATGTAATAAAAATCTAATAAAATAATGACAAATTTGCATAGACAACTTATGAGACACTACGGCGTGTGCTGCAAGACGCCCTACCCTGCACAGCCAGGCTGCTGCAGTGTCTGAATTCCACCAACTAAACTACATGACAGCTGAATGCACTGCAGAAATTGCAGAGAATTTCTGTTATGAGATGATAGCCTCAAGTTCAGACAAAATCATCCTATAAGTGTTTACAATGCCTGGAAATGGACCCACCTGAGATAGCAATGAACTGTTCATCTGTTCCTGTAAGGCTTTTTTCAGTTGGCTCACATCCTTTTCTAATTTCAGATACTCATTCCAGGCATTTTCCATTTCCTATTAACAGAGGGAATACTCTAATACAATGTTATGATAAACTACAAAATCATTCTCTAGTGGAGCACCAAAGTGTTTTGAAGTTAGTGTTGTTCTACCATAAAAAAGAAGTAAAAAATCCATTTTGTAGTCTCCATCATTGCTTAGAGTTGATTATACACTTCAAAATGCTTTACAGCTTGCAAGACCAAGTCAAGAATCCCTAGTTAAAAAACTCTGGCCAACTTTCTTACACAAACCCATTTCTTAAGTATAAAATTGGCATGTAATAGAATCTGAAGTATACTCTGTGAGGGAATTGAGCCTATTGCAGTTCCATTTCCTTTTAATTTACTCCTCTATTGAAAACAAGTTTATAATTAAAATCCAGTGACCTACACCAGAAGTCATGTCTTGAAACACAGAGCAGGTTATCCTTCAACAGTTCTACAGACTATGTGATAAAGTGAATAAACCAGCAGACATCTGGAGAATAAGGCTATCCAATCACCTTTACTGTACTTGGATTACTTCCAGCATCACAGTCAGCCTTCTGACCCAGAACTGAGAAAAATCAAATGTCTAGTGCATTTTTATAAACAGGATGATGAAATAGGCTTTTTCTCTGAATTTTAGAAAAGAGAACATGTGGGAGTTGAGGGCAAGAATTAATGGAGGTCTATGAAGCCATGAGGGCCATGGAGAGAGCAGATGACTGACTGTTCCCCATCTTCTCTCATACAAGGGTCTATCACATTAAACATGTACCAGTCAGGGTCAAAACAAATAAAAGAAAAGGGTTGTCCATGCAGTGGAGAAAAGATCTGTGGATCTGTGCAATACCTCACCAAACGATGTTTTGCATGCAGAAGATTTACAGCATTTAAAAGGGAACTTTATAGGTTTTTGGAAACAAGATCTACTGAGGATTATTAAATAGACCAAAAAAATAACAGAAAAACAGTCCTGGAAATTCTCCAAGCAGAAAACAGTTAGAAGCTGGACTGGTTATGATAGGAAATACTACCCACCTCTACTATCCTTACTCTTCCTTAAGCATCTGCTTATGCCCACTGCTGAAGCCAGAACCCTGGACTAGAAGGTGCCTTGGACTGGACCAGTACAGTCTTTATGACAATGACTTGCTATTTATGCCCACATTTACATTTTAAATGTTGACTGTGAAAGTCATATGTTTTCTATAGGCACAAACCACTGTATCTATACATTTATATAATCCTGATGTTTTAATGATCAGATCTTTCTATAGGAAAGGTGTTCATGCAACTCTAGCAACAATCTTACAAAGAGCTGGTCCCATATTCATTAAAAGGTAGGAATAATAGAGTGGATACACATCACCCATGTTTAATATACTCTCTTTCATGGTCAATTCTTAGAAATAATTTTATTAATAAAATGCAACATTAAATTACATTTTAATTTTATTGAGTCATAATATCAGTAGTAAATTTTGACTGAAATATCAACAGATTTTCCCAGTTCCTTTTCCCCTAGAAAGGTATCATGGAATCACCTCTATATTTTTAAAGGACTAGCTGAATGATTTGCAATTTAAGCCCACGCATAGAATAAAAAGACATAGAAAGTTTTCTGAGTCATCTTTATTTGCAGGGGCAAGGAATATTGAAAAGTAAAGCTGAAGAGATTAATTTTTTTAATCTGATTTAGAATCCTGTATCTTAACCAAAACTGTTCAGAACAGGACTTAACTCCCCTATCCAATGAACAATACAGTTTTACTCTAACTGTAAATTTTAGTTATGGTTTTCTTGAAGCAACCAGAAACACATACCGTTGAAACTTTGGATATTTCAGCCCGAATACGTATAAGATCCTCTTGCAAAAGTCTCTGCTGGTAAGATATTTTTTCTGCATGTTGTGGTTGGTCTTTGTACTGATCCATCTGCCTGTGTAAAACCTCCAAAACAGACTCCAGCTGATCCTAGCAAAGAAGCAGTAAGTCTACAACATTTACATGGAATTTTATGCACCCACCTGTAATAATATGAAATGTGTTTTCCATGCCACAAGTTTCCCAATAGAGCTGAGGACTGGCCTCCTGTTTTGGAGATTAGGAGGCCAACAGTAACAAAAAAGTGCAAGAGCCTTAGTTACCTATTATAACAAAAATTATCTGATACTTTCTATTAATTCTTTCCGTTAAGTAGCCCAAACTGTGGAAAACACAATGCACCGAGAATGGAATTTTTCTATTTACACTCTGTACAAAACTTTAATTTACAGTTTCAGAAAAATTCCCCTAATCAGTATAGAATTGTGACAGCCCTACCACAGCCCAGCATGAGCTGTTTGTTTAAGGACAGATTCTCATTCACTGTTATACTTGAATTAGCCATATGAGAGATTAAAATATTGTCTAAAACATGAAGCAGGTCCAATTCATTCAGCCAGGAGGAAATAACGTGGCATCATTTTTGCACAGTAGCTCTACTGAAGAATCCACCTGAACAGCACTTTCATTTTAGAATAGACTGTTTTCTGAACCACCTTAATTTACTGACAGCTACAGCTCACAGGCAGCAGGGAAGCAGATGGATTTAAAACATTCGCTTTCAAAAACATGTTTTCTAACAATTGGTAATCAGTCCTAACATAACCCCCCCTGTCTTTTTCTCACAGAACTTTATACATATGTCCAAAGAAAACTACTACAGTGCAAGAAGCATCCAGTAATTCAATTTTTGTTTGGAATTTCATATTTTATGATTAGATAAAAGCTGTTGCTTTATTTTACTAATCCCTTTTCAATCTACTTACTTTATTCTCCTTAAGGGCTCTTATTTTGTCCTCCAAGTCCTGCAGAACTCTGTCCTGCTCACAGAAAATGCTTAGCTTCACCTGGAAATGAAATAATATACATATATAACATTAGATTTTAAAAATTAAAAGTATCCACTTGTAATATCTTACCCCCAAAAGTATAATAATGAACACGTAACTGCACAACAGAAACAACCAAATCAATGTAAGAGATGCTGAAGTGGTGTTTGATACTTACATCAATATCACTTTCTGCAATCTTGACAGGTTTTGTACTTCTTTCTTTTAATGTGTCACGTCCTGTCACCTAAAAGGAATAGGTTTTAAAAATATAAGGAATTTGTTGCAAACTTAAACCTAATTATGCTTCAGCAATGAAAAGTCTTGTTAAATATTCATGATTATTAACAAAAATTAATAAAATTTGGGGTACAAGTGTTTTCAAATCTGGCTTTGAAGTTTTCAAATCTGGTTTTTGAAGTGTTAACAGAAAGAATTACTAGTTATATGAGTCTATTTAACTCTTACAGTAGTTTAGAACTCTCTACAAACAACCATAAACCCACCTATCTATGGTTACAAAGGTCCTTTTCCTACAAAATATAGTAGTTTTAACAGTTCAGCTATAATAGCTTTCTTGAAGCAAGAATAGCAGCATTCATTAATGACTAAAAATACAACTTTTGGCAAGTATTTCATTCTACAAAGGACAGTATCTTCCTCAGCACAGGGTAAATTTTATTAAAGAGAGAATGCTATAAAAGTGCTATAGTGGAATTAAATGCAATTAATCTATTTTGACGTGTTTATAATGTACCAAATCTCTCATTCCATAAATCACTGGTTTCATATTCCATTTCTGCTTGAGAAGATTATCTTCTCACATAACACAGTTTTTAAATCAGTACAGAAACGATACTATATTATACTTCCAACCTTCACAGCAACCTTAAAATGAAGGCATGTCTATCTCTGTAGAAATGTTTATTATTCCCACTGCATCCATGCGAATAATTTTTTTTTGTGAATAAATGAGGTTAAGAAAACAGCAATGTAATACAGTTCATTAGTCATACATTTTTAAAAGCCTGAAAATCTAATGATTTGATTACTAGATTAGAATATTTTTAAAAATTCATTAAAGCAAATACTATCTTACCAAAGAAACACCTGGTAGCTAGTAGTACTCATATACAGCATATTCCTATTCATATACCATCAAGAGTTTACTAAGAAAAATTCACCTGAATATTGTCTTCAATAATGTAAGAGAAGAGGTTTTAATATAAGAACAAAAGTTATTGGCTTTTCTGGTGGGATAGAAGAGGTAGTTTGCTTTTTTACGGACTGACTGGCAATCTCCAGACTTGAAGCTACATAGTTTACTTATTAACCTAAAATTCACCTACAGGACCATGTTAGTTTTTTAAAAGTACTTATATTTTACTCTTACTGTAGATAAATCTTTGATATAATCTCATCTTTAACATGTCATGTAACATGTTATGTGAAATTAGCCATCTACACGTAGTGTTTTCAAATAAGAAAGCAGATTTAAAACAGAAGGGTCTGGTCATCATTTATGTTTAATGTCTTCTCTCCTCCAATGGCAGGCTCCATTCAAAGACTTATTATGTACCTTTATGTGGTGAAATGTTACTTCCCCACCACCAAAATCAAAAGCACTTATTGCCTCTCAAAACTTTCAATTTTTTGATATTTTCTTTTTCAACAATGATGTGGGGTTTTTTCTTTCAAAAGTATTAATGGAATTATTTAAATGCTAAATCATATACATAATAGTAATGTAATTAAATACAAATATAAAATACTAGCAACCAAAGTAATAATTTTGCATATTTCATTACCTGCAAGCTAAGAGAATGCAAAAGCCTTTTTCAAAGCAATGGAATTAACATAAAAACAAGTCTGCAGATTTGGGGGATACTTTAACTTACATAATCAAAACTGTAAGGAATTTGTTAATTATCAAGCAGTGAACATGAGAACATAATGAAGATTTAGCATGCTTTCACATTTCCAAAATTTCACAGAGGAGTCACTACTTGACAAAATCGTTTTCAAAATTAAACCAAACACTGAAGTCAGCCATAATTTCGCATACAGACTTCAAATGAGGGGAAAAAAGGAAAAAAAAAAAAAGGAAAGAAAAAAAATGTTACATAAAGCGCTACTGTTTACCATAAGACACCTATAAAAGCCAGAACACTGACTGCTACTTTAAAAAGCAATGGGATGAGCACATTTCAGATGCAGGAAGTCTTACATGTATACTGGATAGTAACCCTTGTGCTGAGTTCTTTAGCACTTTGTATATCATGTTGATCAGAGGTCCATTATTTTCTATCTGTTTCAAACAAAAGTTTAGTAATAGCTTGTTACAGATGTCAAGATTTAAACCCCCAAACTTTACAACTGAAATCTCCACGAGTAGCAGTAATCACACGCTCTTGTGTTACACCGATCCTCAAGGTTTATGGTCTGCACCATCTGCCATGATGGAAGCTACACCTGGATATCCACCCCTATTGTCTCATATTTTGGGTAGATTCTTCATACAACAATAAGACTTTTCTACTTTTTCAAAACACATATTAAAACAAACAAACAAACCAGGATTTGCTCACTCTCATCCAGTTGCAGTTTCAACACACCATGGTATTTTCTGTCATGTAATATGCAGTGATGCTTGGACCAAGAACTCTCTATATTGATAATTTGAGCAACCCAGTTAAAACCTCAGAGAAAAATGTTATTTCAATCACTTTTATCCCTCCTCCCATAACATATACCTGCTGTGCACTGTATTCTTCATTATCTAAGTGACAGAAGCTTGCACTAGAAACCTCTTTCAACTGCAGTAGAAACTAAACAGCTTCAGATATTCTTCTGACTGCAGAAGAATGAAGCAGGACCCCTGAGAGGGCTCCAGATTTGCTTCAACTGGTTGCACGACTTATACTTAGTGGCACAAATTTTCCTAGATTTCCTCATCCATATTTTGTATAACTTGCTAGGGAATGTTTGTAAAGTATTCTGACATGAGGCTGTCCATCCATCCCTCCTGTAGCCTGCCTGAACTTCATTTCATAGCCCCAAAAAAGGGACGCTTGCTTCACCATTTGTGTTTCACCTTATTTGTAAAGTCATCTTAGAAGCTTCAGGGGGAAATTGAGTTTTTTCTTTTCTTTGCTCTTCCTTTCTGCTTTTCTAATACAGGGTCTGTCCACTTTAAAGATTGAAAAAATCCAACTGTAGAAATACAGCTGTGGAAATCTGTTTGCAGAAGAGGCATAGTTATGCCATAGCATATAAATATACCATTTCTTCCATGTTCCACATGCCTCTATTTCATGGGTTAAAGAAGAATACAGAGTCTTGGCAACAATTTGGGGAGAAAAAAGGCTCCTAATCTAAGGACAATATTGTTAAAAGAAACCTTCACAATGCATGGTGTTTTGCATCTTCAAAATTATCAATAATTTTTCCTCATAGTGTGAGCAAACGGTCTTTAGACTTATTCTTTTTTTCATGTCAGAACTAACTGATACGTAAGAGAAAACTACTGACATGGATTAATATCTATCTTAGAGCATTTTTATTTCATTTATACTTACGATGTGACAATACACTATAATGTTGAAAATATAATCTTAACACAAAAATTATTTCTTATATAGTATTTTAAAACTGTTAAATAGTAAAAAAATAGGCTCACAAACATGTAAGCCTCAACAAATCACTAAATGCTGTATAACCAGTTACTATAATCAGTTTTTGTGCTATGGCAAGCATTATGCAGTTAATCGCTTAATCACAATTTACATGTTGAAAAGTCGTATTTCAAAACCTTTAAGAAGAGAAATCTTCAGAAATAAGAGATTTAGTGAAAAGAAAAAAGTTTAACTCCAGTTCCAAAATCTTCAGTCCTATTTGAAACTGTTTAATTAGCATGGGTCTCACTCAAAGCCTAGTGAAGTCAAAGGAGAGGCTTGAACTAACAGGCTTTCTATCTAAGCCTTCATTGTCTTAAATGGATTAACTGTGAATTTGTCATACTCCACCCTTACTAGAAAAATATATAATTTGCTTAGTTTCATACAGTGCACTCTTCTTTTTTCCTCCTACTGCAAAAAAAAGCACCTCTGCATCTAGTGGCAACCAACACAAAGACACCTTCTTAAGTGTCACATGGTCTTCAATCTCTCAGCAACCTGACAGGAATTTTTACATTTCCGGACCTCTTCTGAAAGGAGGTCATTAAGAAATGCCCATTTTGAAAAATTACATCATTCCTATGGAAACACACTTGACATTTTGACTGTCAAGATTTTCAAAAGGGAACCAACGCTAGCATTAAGTTTCTTCTTGCTGAAGGATCAGGTGCTGCCGTACATTTCTCTTTCTGGCTGATTTCATTAGGTGCTACACAGGGACAGTGGGAGCTCCTGGGAGACCAAACAGTTCCTCATATCCCAGGCTGCAACAAATGAATCCAGACAGAATCTGCTGGAAATTTAAAAACGCCTCCTAATAATTTTGCTAAGCAAATCAAATTTTCAGAGGCTTGAACTGTGGTCACCTTAACCACAAAAACTGTTGTGTTTTATAATGGACAAAACACTGTGTTTATTAATAATTTTTCAACTTGTAGGACTTTTTAAATTGTAATTTGTCATAAAATTCAGTTGACAGTTTGGGATGCAGTTACACTTGGCAAAGCCATGAACAAACCAAGGACAAGGCCTAAAATTAAATGTGTCCAACCAATTTTAAATTTGTATATTAATGATTCCAACAGTTTACATATTTGATAATTTAGACTTTATACACCATCTATATGATAAATATTAAATCTCTCTCTATATATATATATGATATTATATATATGTATAAAATGTATTACTAATATTTTTTGTTTATATATTTGGTTATATATTCAGCAATCAAAACATCAGATAAAATAGAAATATACATCCTCATAAGTGTAGTCAGCTCATTAGCTGCACTTATGCAATACCCTATGGCATCAACTATGTACATGTAAACAATATGGAGAACAAGGTGCCAAATTTCCCTCCACCTTGATTTTCAGGAACACCATACAATTTATATATGGTGAGACATCCTACACACCTTCGAAACTGGCAGACTGCTTTGCTAAGCAAAATGTTTATACCTTTTTGGCGGGCTTTTTTCCCTTCAAAATCTGTTATTAAGAAGTCTAGATTTGCTTTCAAATTACCAACCATCAAGTGCACCAGATACAGAAGTAATTTCATTTAGACAGATGATATGATGCTCAATATATTATTTAATTTTTTCTTTAAAAGAATACCTCATAACATTACTTGGTCAGATTATGGATGGATGGATGAATGGGTGCATTTGAAATCTCTTAGTTGTAATAACACAAAAACAATGACAGGCGCTATTTAATCACCACATTTTCACAAGAGCACAAGGCATTATAAATATGGCATATTATAAAAACAAGGAAAAAGTCAGTTCAAGAATATTTAAAGAGAAAAATATTAAAAGAACACATAATTTAACTCAGAGGTGTTGACTTCGTATTGGTTCTAACGCTACAGCAGAGAAACATTTTGAACCTGATTTTTTATCTGATTTCCCTAAACCCACATATCATTCATTTGTAGTCCCAGTAACAGAAGTTCTTCCTACAAACTAAAGCAACTACATTTTCTGAGTTTGCACTTTAATTGTACGGTCACTACCAAAATGACACTCAATATTCTAAGCACAACAGTGAGGCAAAAAACACAGTTTCTGTCTCTGACTAGTAGGTGACTTGAAAATCTGCAGGTACAAAGATGATACACAAAAGGCAACTGGGTTAAAAAAAAAAAAGAAAAAGGAAATATACTCCTGTAAAATCTTACCTTTAGATCCAAATACTCCAGATCCTTTTTCAACTGGATGTAAGTGTCATCAGCCTTCAGGTAAGTGCATTGGGAAAAAAACGATGCAATGTATTTGAATTTTTGAAAAAAATTCAGAATACTTGGATTGGTTATATATAAGAAAATAGATGAAAGAGGGAACAAAATAACAGAGTAGGAAGTACATAAAAAAGCACATTTGCTCCACCAGCATATTGCTATTTACAGCTGAAAAATGGGCAAAATATTTCACAAGAATATTACTGCCTTATACCCATCCTCCAAACATACAGATTTTTGCTTTCCACCTCTAATGAGACACGGAACTACCTCAAACAATACATTTTCAAAAGCTATACTTTCAAGATCAATTTCTACTGACTATTCCTTCACTGAAAAAGTTATGGTGGCGTCCTCCCTGCCTCTTTGGGGGAAGAAGAGAAGACTTGTACTTAACAATGTTAGATGTAACTAGAAGCCATCATATAACTAATCATTAGAATACTTTTGATCACAATTCATACACATTTTAAAATATTAATTCCTTTATTCATGGAAAGTATGAAGAAGTTTTGTGAATAAAATACTGAAAAATATCTTACGATTAGAGAATCTATTTTGTCTTTTAAGTAATAGCATTCAACTCGATCCTTATTTTTCATTGGCTCAGCTGTAATTGTTATCCGCTTAATTTTATAGTTATATTGGTCTAGCATCATCTTCATCACAGTCACTTCAAGAAAAGCATGCACAGAAGTCAAAAGTTATTTCTCCTCTTTTCAAAAGGGGTATTTGCAATACAGAATAAAATAAAGTTTAACTGTTGCAAATGTGCTTTGTAGTCAGACAAAATGTCCCAAACTTCTAGAATTTTAACTGCTATTTTGACAGGACTTTATATCCTGGGTATATTTAGCTTCAGAATAAAAGAAAAACACAACTGTATCTTTTCTCAAGTTTTGAGCCAATGAGAATGTGTAGTTAAAAAAGAAAAAAAAAACCTTTACGCCATAAAATCAATAGATCACACTTGCATTTCTTTAGAGGTGTTCACTTAAAATTCCCGTCCAATCAGCTTGTAAGGCTGGCTGAGAACTTCACTAGAAAGTCTGCCCATTTTTGGAGAAATCCCTGTTATTATCGCCCATCTTAGTGCAATTGTTCTGTAGGTGAGGTAAGTCGGGAAATGAAACTTCTTCAAACTCATAAAAAATTCCTTTAGCTTTGGGCCAAAGCCTTCACCAATTCAAAGAAGTCACCACATTTTATTCCCAGATGGCTCCATTTCTGAGGCTCTAATAGGAACCAGAGAGCTCTGTAAGTACATTTCTGGTTGATCTCATATTTACAGGTTTCATAACACCAGTGCAATCAAGAGCACTGTTGATGATCCAAGACGCCCTGAGCTTTTATGAACCAATGATCACCTGCAGAACCCACACAGTTACAAGCTCATATGAATGTACAAACTGGCTGATGCATTTCAATTTGCAGGTGATGCAGCAGGTGGCACAGGGAGCCAATCCCATTATGAAAGCAGCACAAAGAAATGGTTTTGCTTTAGAATGAACTTACTTAGTATTTTAACCCACATTTCTGAAGATGCAGCATTTTCAGAAATAGTGTAAGAAGGAAATAACACTGAAAAATATGCACTGGTGCCATATAACTTAAAATGCTCATCTTTTACAGCAAAAACAGTAAGCAAAGAAAAACCACAAACAACCTGGGAACTGTAGAATACCAAAGAATGGGCAAGAAAGCACAGACTCAAGCATGCCACTAATGAAGCATTTGCAGAGTCACAAAATGTCATACTGCACAGATGAGCCACGCAGCAGCTGACCTGATAGGTGGAATTAGTTGGCAAGTGCTGCAGTAATTGTGCGATTGTGTAATTTCTTATACTAGCCAACTTAGCCTGATGCCTCCTTAATCGAATGAGAAGCAATGTTAGCTCTTCGGGCTGCAGGTATTTAGACACATTGTAAAGAGGAAATTAGCAGTCTTCAGGGAGAGTAACTATAATTACATTTTTCACCTCAGTGCCCAGAAAGCAGTTACTTGACATGATTAAGTAATTATTCAATTAACTCTGCATTTGGTCAAATAAACATAATAAAAGTTGAATCCTGTAATAACAAGACATCTCACCCCTGTTTATGCTGTAGATAACAGCAAAATTCCTACAGGCTTTACTGGGAGGTGGTTAAGATTAAGTTCTCATTCGAGTTATTTATGCTTTAACTAATAAAGTTAAGATCAAAGAGTACCGAGCAGGATTTTACAACTTAACTGCAACGCTATGAGGACACAAAAGGAAGAGTAGCTGCGCTCTCCACTTACCGACTTGCCGTGCAAACTGGGCGCGCTCACGGTGTGTGTCATGTAGCCCACGGCAGGCATGGAGCGCCGGTCCAGGTGAGTGGAGCTCTGTAAGAAGCCACAGCCAGAACTCTTAAGGATTGTGTCAAGTGACAGGTATGTTGCACATGAGGGAAAACTCGGAATGCACCTCTGCCACAGATTTTCTATTTGAATTCCCAGGGTGCTTAGATCAGGGTAACATTCATGGGCCAGCCTGGACCTTGGATGATTAAGTAAAACTTAATCATCAACTTACATAATCAACAACTTACATGATCTTTCGTACACAAGTAAAACTTACAAATGAACAAATGCAAATTTAGCACCTGTGATGCTGGGCAGATCAGCGGATTCTGGCAGTACGAGGTGCTTCAGCAGAACATGCAAAGTAGCTTCCAGCAAATAAAAAAAATAATTCATAAAGTTCCCCTCCCCAGTGTTTCCCAGAAAAAGGCTGGTTGGCTTATGCCCTCCAACAGCAGGCTTGTACTCCACACCGTAACAACTGTGAATGTTCTCTTTTAGCTGGGGAACACTAAGCTACTGACATGACTGACACCTTGTGGCAATGGCTTCCATTAATACCAAGGGGTTTTTTAATAATCGTATTTGATCTGCCCCTCTCTGCTTATAAAATGAAAACCTACTGCACACCCATCCTTTCATCTTTCTCTTAAAGCCAAAATTTATGGCTTTCTTCAAGGCAGACTAAATGTCTCATGATTTACTTTTATTCCTGTCTCTGAACTTCACTGAATGCTGTTTTGTTTTGCCTTCCCCCCCGCCTTTCTTTTTTAAGTGTAACTGGATGGAATTTAATAAGGCATTACAGGGAGTGTGGAGTGTCATAGATTTCTGCAGAAGTACAGATTTAAATGTAAAATGACACTGTGTGCTTACATATAAAAACATAAGCCTTTTTCTCTAGAAACTTTCACAGAAGTTCCACAGAGAAGTTTTAAATACGAGGAAAACTGTGTTTCCCTATAATGGTAAAGCCAGGATGCCATAAAAAGAGCTTTATTTTATGAGTAAAATTTCTGCAGCTACACTGCACAGGAAGGGAAAAGACTGCTGTACATGCCTTTGTAAGGGATGTAATGCTCCTTCCACTTACATATGGAGAAACCAATGTGTGGCAGAATATAATCAGGCGTTAAAAAAATATTAATTTCCAGTGCTGCACATCACTAGACTATTTAATCCTCTGACAGAATATTATAAACCTATAAATGCTGAAAGACGCCTGACAGCTACACCACATACACACTTGGAAAAAAACCTAAACTGTGCACAAAGCTGCAGCCTGAAGTCATGGTCCTGAATCCACACTGGGTATCTGAATTTACAAGTCTCTTTCTTTGCAAATACTTTCCCCACCAGAGTCCACAGTTGAGGTTAGAGAATTAGGTGAATACAGAGGCTTTCACTACCAATTATTCCAGTGTAAGTGCTACCAAGACAAGCCAATCCTTCATTGATTCAATCATGAATTTCCCCAAATTCCTTAGGCAAGGAGAGCCATGTGCAGTACCGAATAGGGAAACTTATGTCACCTCTGGATAAAAGGGTACAACAGTTCCAACAAAAAAACCCACACTGAAATCATGGAGAAGGTTGAAGTTTCGGACCAGCACTATTTGATTTTGGTTAGCCCACTGATAAAGACTCTGCAACGGACCTAAACTATCAAATGCATGAAAAATAACTGTGTTTTTTGCCATAACTAAAAACTGAATCAGCTGCAAGACTAACTACAACAGCTTAACACATAGAGAAAGAAGGCATGGCAAACACTTAAAGCTATAAGCATAAATAAATAATCAGGGAAGAGTTCATCCTGCTGAGTTTTATATTCTTGCCTACCTACTCTATATATTAAAATACTACCATTGGTGTATTCTATATATGTAATATATATGAGTTTTTGAATAAAAATATTCCAAACCAATGTGATGTGCCACCAATTTCCCTTTCCTAACTGACAAAAATTAATAAACGTGAAATTATCAGAATAAGAGCTTGATGAGAAAATTATTCATTGTATTAACTTTTACAACTTACATGATCTTTCACACACAAGGAAGGATGCAATGAAACATAACTAAATAAATTATCCATGTGTGACACCACATGAAGAATAGTTTGAAATCAGTTATATGCATACAAACCTTTGCAGCATGATTTCGTATCTTCCTGGGTGATCCAGCAAAAGGAACGTCTACAGTCTGTCTCTCATCAGATGGTTTAACTGTAAGCCTTTCTGCAGGAGTATGTGGTCTCCTTGGGAGAAAGTTTTTTGGAGGTCCAGGTGGAGGAATATCAGATGGAGAGGGTGGAACAGATATTGATCGTGGAACATCTAATGAACTTTTTGACTTACCACGATCAATAAAGTCTGAAGAACTTACATAAAGTGGGGCAGTGGGGCTGCCGTGTTTAAATTGCTGCCTCTGCTGCCACTCATACAGCTGCCAAACAGTTCCATCCTTATTTGCTTTCCTTTCCTCCTGGGACATCTTCAAGTGGCTAACACGATCTTGTGCATATTTGTAGTCACTCGGCAGATTGCGGTTTGGTGGTGGTGAGCTCCCTGAAGGCTGCCTGGTATTCTTTGGCAAAGTGTGATAGTTTTCAGGAAAAGGAGGATTGGGACCCTGACGTGTAAGAGTCTGATCAGAAGTGAGGCTGCAAAGAGAAGGGAAGAAAAGCGTAAATTTTAGCATACACTGATGAGCGGGAGTGACTGATAAAAAAGAATCTCTAATGACATAAGCATAGGAGCTACAAGACATAACATACAACAGTAATTTTAAAACAATTTACAGAAGTATTATCAAAGTAATATTGATGAAATCTACCCTGCACAAAAATCTTACACTGTATAAATACAGGCTTTTAATCTAGTGTCTAACCTAGGATGAACTACTAGAAATAAACTTAAGGGAGGGCAGCATTTCCTCAGACTAAAAAGAAAGTCAAGAACATGAAGAAAGTAATTATTGTTATGTTTAAAGAGTAAATCCATAAATTAAAATAGTCCTTTTCACCGAAAGCCTGTTCACCACTAGGTGGTGCAGTTTACGAAAACAAATGCATGCTCATTATAAAAAATTATCTTGAAGTGCAAGAAATCTCACCAGTCACAGAATATCTCAGACAATTTTTGTTCATATGAATGAAGCAAAAAAAGGCAAGAAACTGCTCAAAGTCCCCAGGTCTGTATGATTTACTTTCACCTAATGCTACTGGTTTTACTGTTTTATCAACACAAGGCTTTTTACAACAAGCCAATGATAAATTGGAATATAAAAAGAGCTGTAATGATCCTGGCTTTAGTACTGCATCCATAATATACTAAAACTGTAGAAACTAAATATTTTAGCAGGTAAAGAGTTAAGACAGAACTGGCAAAAGCTTTGACAATCTGTAGTTAGCTCCCCTCTACTTAGAAGTCAAAATCTTTCCATAGCCTCATGCATAAGAACCTGCCTCTGTCTGATTTCTGATTCTCCGGTCAAACATCTGGGGCTTTAGTACTTGCAGACATTCGTCCATGGATTCAGAATCTCCAACCAGAAAACCATTCTGCTAGACTTGCTACAGAGCATCATTACAAAAACTAAATAAAGACAACCAAAAACCCACAACTTAAGAAACTCACGAGCATGTTCACCATTCCACTCAATAAACTCCACTCTGCACAACCCTCATGGTTTGGAAAATGCAGGAATTCCACATGAAAGAAAGGGCAGGATGGAAAAGAACAGTCTTTGTTCAGCATCCAAGAACAACAGAAGCAGGGGAGAAAGAATTGCCACCGATAACTGCCGTTCAGTAGTTGCTTCTGTCTCCTCTTGCAGGATTTGGCACTGTCAGGCTGTCTTGAAATATGTATGCTCTTGAGAGGATACATAATTCCTCATGCCAGAAAGCAGAGTAACTGCCCTGCACCGCATGGAGGATTACAAACCTGTAAAAACTCTGCTCTCTCGTACCACAGAACCTTGACATTACCTCAAATTTCACAGTGAAGGTTAAAGCAGACAGGTAGTATGAACAAAGGTAACTCAAAGATCAGTATAAAGTGGTCATGTAACCTCTTTTAATTGTCTAATTCCCTGCATCACATGTACTTTGTATGTTTTGTACTTTGCCGTCGATTTTTTTCACAGGAAAATCATGTGGTAGAAAGTTGGTAGAAATCTTCTGTTCTCTAGATAGGAATAAGAGCTGAGAAAGCTTGGAGTGGATAATGTTTTGAAAGGAAATCTGAGGCAAGCGTGAAGCTCGGACAGATCCCTTTGGTGATTTCTCTACGGAAAAACAGGGAAAGGGGTTTGAGCACTCCCATACTCCAACCTAGTGGAGACCTCATGAAGGCATAAGCAAACTGTTGAATGTTGCAAACCATCTGTGTGTGGTTATTTTCTAATTAGAAATTAAAGGGCAAAGTATTGAGATCAGGATCAGCTGGAATTAATGGTAGTCAGTGAAGTCATCAGGGGTAGCAGCTTTAGGAGCAAAACCAGTCTGAAAACAAAGACTCCATGAGCTTTGTTGAGGGCCAGGGGATTCATGCCTTTCTTCTAGAAAAGAATGAATTTGTCTGATAGGAGCAGCTGGGAAGTGCTAGATTCATGCAATACTTCAGCCAGCTAGACAAAAGAAGAAAGCTGCATGTGGTTCACAGAGAAAGTCATAAAGTCATATTCAGAGCAAATGCCTACATACAAGCAGGTTGTGTTTTATCAGTATATGAAATAGGGACAAACCTCAAACTGAGATGACAAGCTTTGAGCCGGTGGCATCTCTATCACACAAGGTTTCAGTCTCTTAGAAATAACATGCATTATATAAAAATAGGCACTAATTAATTGCTAGAAAAAGAACCATGTCCCAAATGACTCGAATTAGTCCACAATGGATTATGGACAATTGCTTTCTCAGGGATTAAGAGTAAAAATGAGCAAACGCAGCTGTTCTTGAGAATCTCCCTCTCTTGAATGATGAGATATGAAGAACATAAAAAAGAAAGCAGACATTGAAGAGTGAATAAATGGCCTGATGCCATATTATATGATTATTGGCCACAAAAATCATTTGGGGTCTGCAATGGGAAGCAACCACACAGAAGATATTGTAAAAAGAGATGATAAATGTTGAAAAGAAAACAAGTACTATTATTAGAAACACTATAGCCATTCATTGAAACGCACAGAAGCTAACAAAGACAAGTAATGTTTCTTCCTTACGCAAATCAGGAAGGAACAGAAAGTTCTACACAACAAGAAATGTTTTAACACTGTATTTGGAAGGAAGGAAATGTCTTAACATGACTGCATTTAGTTGGGGAATATTAAGGTTCACCAGGTTTAAATATTTTTTTAAGTGCAAATAAACTGCTAGAAATAGCAAATACTTCACAATTACACAGTGACTATGTCTATGCAGGCACTGGAACCAGATCAAAACCTAATAATTTCTGAGCAGCTGCCGTTTGATGGTCCTGACCTTTAAGTACTTAAAACCAAAATCTCCTGAAAGCCTCCTTTCAAACCTTCTTCCAATTCTCAAGATCTCTCTCAAAGGCTAGCATGAACCTTACCAAAGCAGGTATTCCCATCTGCTGAGAACAGAGTGGGATTAGATGACTACACTGAATGTCACTGTAGTGCAGCTGAGAGTTCACTAAGAGACAGCTGAAGTGACAACTAACATTTACAACTTAGCAAACAGTTCTGAGTGCTTTACAAAAAGGGGAAGCAAAACATCGATTTGAAAGATATAAAGATCTATATTAAAGGTGCAATTCCTGCAAATAATTCTATGAACAAGTGATGTATTTGTGTGAAGGTTTTAGCTGAAAGAGTTCTTTCTTGTCATAACGAACTTGCTGGCAAGCATTGCAACTGTATACACCTGAGCCAGGACACAGATAAAACTGTACTCATTCTGTGTTCAAAAATTATCCAGGCTTCGGAAGCCTCAGAGGTTCTTTAATTGTAACATTTCAGCTGGAACAAGAGTCAACATGGAGCATTAAGAAATTAAGTGATCCACTAGTATTTACTAAAATCAAAATGGAATGTCAATCAAATTATCATCTCTAGCTTGAATTTTATATCCTGTAATCAAAAAGATATTTGACAACTAACATGCCGCTTCTATCTGTCAGTTGACTACACTGCAACAACCTCAGTTGCTCTCTCAGCAGGCTGAGAGAAGGTGCCACTTAAAAGATTTATCAATCTTCGGGAAGGTAATGTGCAATTTATTCTGCGCACAGAAAATATAATGTCATTTGCAGGGAGAGACAAAGAAAACAGGTCAACTGAGCTAAAATAGAACATTTTTAGAGAGATATGTGTATATATATATAAATTTAGTTTCACTGAATACTTAGCAGCACCAGCTGAGGTAGCTGGCTTTATCTAGAAAAAAACCTGGCACCTGCAATACCACTAGCTTCACACTACACCTGATACATGCCTAAAGTTAATTAACTGGAAAGAATAATTTGGAAGCAAACAATACTTAGTTAGCTATCAGTCAAGCCTCTTACTGCCAATACTTCTGATGTAAAAAACAGCAACAGAAGTTTTTCTAAACACTCATTAATTAGGTCAATAGTTTTCTGTATTATTTCAGACAAATACATCTATGTGTGTAATAAGAACTAACTTACCAAGTACCTTTCTTCATTAAAGTCATATTCTTTTGGGAAGCATTGATTATATCCAAGTCAAAAATATGCAAGTTAATTGACTCTAGCAGTCTAGCAGAATGCTAAATAATATCAAAAAGTAAGAAAGCTTCTTCAAGGGCAATTCCAAAGATAAAAGAGTAAAAGAATGGACTTCCACACAAAATTAGCAAGCCTTAAATTTCTTACTGGCTCTAAAGTGACAAACGTTAGCCTCAATAAGCATTAAAAAAATGTCCAAAATATTTTCCTCCTCCTAAAAACCACATGCCAACATCTCTTATTTCTGTATATTCTAACTAGATTTTAGCAAATGTATAGAACACTGATTCAGTAGATTAAGCATATTTGAAAAATCCTCACAAGGAGCATCAAGTCCAACTGTCTTTCCTGCCCCTTGAGACAAGGTGACATTCTGAACAGATGCACATATACATCACTTCATTTTTTCCACTGGTACTTAATCCAACTGCACACTTCAAAAGTAAAGCAATTATGGGGTTTTCAAACTACAAAAGCATTCCAGTGTGCATTCCTTCTATTGGTGCAATTTATGTAATTTTCAGGGACTGAAAAGGGAAAAGAGAATCCTGGAGACCATGGGAACATCCTAGGACCTCTGCATTAACTAAATGAATATATGGAGACCTTTCAATGTGGGATGCACACACTTTGAGTGCAGTGATCTGATATAGAGAAGTGAATGGATGTTTGGAACAGGAACAGAAGGGAGAAGAAAAGTAATCAGCATTCTTTACTTTTAAGTGGAAAACAAACAATTATCTATCATTTATATTGTGCAGTTGTTTATGAATAAGAAGTAACTGAGAGCTGCACTTCACTTTCCGACTCTTCAAAATTTAAGCAAATTTTAAGAAGTTTTAAGTATCCACAGTGATTAAAGACAGTAAAAAAACCCCCAGCACGCTAATCTCACTTATTCTGTTTGCAATATTGTGACAACATTAAAGAGATTTGATTAGCCAATCCCATATTGACTTTCCCATGAGATAAACGCCTGAAAACTACCATTCTGCACTGAAGGAGAAAGTAAGTTTTCTTATATATTGTCTCTGTAAAGTGTCATTCTGATTTGCACCAAAGACATTACTAACACATATTTTCCTTTAGCTTAAGAAAATGCCAGTTGGCAATCTATTTAAAGATGGGCCTATTACTAACCTTTTTGTATCTCCTTTTTGGACTTTTACCCAGTGTTCCACTTGAGCCATGTTACTTTTTCTTTGAAACTGCTTATCTGGATTTGCTCTGGGAACAAACCCTCTTTTATATGAGCCAGTACCATTCTGCTCCACTAGGCCAGCACTCACACTTAATGAACTAGGAAGGGTTCCATTCTTCTCAGCTGGCTGAGGTTGAGCTACTTGGGACCACGATGCCTTCGATGCATTCGTTAAGTCTGGAAATAATGAATCAGCTTCTGTTAACGCATGCTTGGCCTTTCCCTTTTTAGTTTCCAGAGTTCCTTTTCTGTGAATATAACGCTCCTCCTCCTCCTTTTCTCTTCTTATCTCTTCACGCTTATCATATCCAAGCATTTCAACTGATTTTTGATAACTTTCTTTTGTATCTGTAATCTCTCCCTTCACACACTCTTTACAGGTATCCACATGATTGACTTGGGGAACAGCTTGCTGATCCACTTTTTCAGTTTCTCTGAAAAGAAAACACATGTCAGTTATGAACACTGTGTAATTGTGAAAAATTGATGTGGTCTCATTACTTTTTCAGAAAGAATACCCACAGAACCACCTTCTGCAGACTGTGATATAATTGACATGTTAAGATAGATATGTTCAGCAAAACTCGGTTGTTATCCCAGTTAGACAAAAGTTACCTTTACAGTGTTGTCAAGGAGGCAGAAATTACTTATACGCGTCTGTAAAAATGACTGAAAATACTAATTTCGTCAAAAGAAGTGTTCAACTTGTGTAATATTATGTACAAAAAGCTGTAAAAGAGAAAGTCTTCCTATCCTAGGAAATGCTGAAAGCCAAAAAAACCAAAACCAAACTGCCAACTGCTCATTGCAAAATAAAAAAAAGTCTCTTCATATCTTTGTAGGTGCTTTAGGGACTAGTCATTTCTGGCCGAGAGAACAGAGCAATATCTACATTTGAGTCAATACTATTGTCCAGGGAATTTCTAATAGAAGGGCTATTTCTGAAACAAACAAACAAAAAAATCCAAAACAACAACAACAAAAATATTTGAAAATGTCCATTGCTCCTAACACATGCTGCAGCACACACTAGTTTACTTATTTACCTTATTGCCTAAATATTTCAAAAATTCCACACTAGAAATCTTGATATTAAACTTTGAACACGCTATAAAATGTCTAAGGATCCTAAAAGTTTCATGTTGCTTTTGACACATAGCATACTTAATTTGCAATTTTCTTCATCTCCTTATAGCAGTAACCTTCTTGACAACATTGTTTTCTCTCACAATTCAATGGGATTTCCTTGATCTCGGAGTAGCACCTCATCTTCTCTGAAATTAAGTTCAGCTTCTTTACAGAAGGTAAATTCTGAGTAACACAATTGTTTTCTCTTCAGTCTACTTAGAAATGAATAGTCTACTTAGGAGGAAGGACACTGGATCAATACTTCTAATGTGCCAGACTTCTCCAATGTTTCTTTTAATTATTCCTTATAAAGATGATAAAGAAAAATCCAGGTACCAGGTTATATGTTACTTGAAATTTAAATGAAATCCAGAAAGTCTTAATATAGGATATAAAGCTCTGGAAGAGATGTTGATCCTTTGCTTATATTTGACTGGCCAAAGGAAAGCAGCAGTGTGAGATACTCTGAGAAACTGCATGTGACATTTTAATCCTCACAGCCCCAGTGGTTAAAAGTAGGGTTGTCTCACAGTACAGTCTTCCTTCACATGCAGTTGTAGGGAAAGAATCACATTCCAAAGTCAAAACGTCAAGAAAGCTACATCAATTTTAAGAAAAGGAAAAACCTGGAAATACATTTTGGCACAGCTGAATTTGTTCATAATTAGTTCATAACTGTATAAATTAGTTATTATTATAAATTAATATCCATTATCTCTCTGCACTTATGATTTACCCATCTTTAATATCCTTTCCCCCCTTAACAGCACTTTAATCCTAGTTCTAAATGCTCATTTGAAACAAGTCATTAGACTTCTGTCTTTCCTCTTTTACTTATCTCTCCTAAAGCATGTCAATTGGCTCTCACAGGTGCAGGAATTTGCTCACAGAAATTGTACCTTTTAACTGCAATTCCCTAAAATATTATATATATATATATATATATAAAAATTAATCCATATCACTAAATGTGAGCACACAATTCGATGTACACACAAATACTGAACACCAGGTTTTCCTAATTAATATCAGGGAACTGATTTGCAACAGAATGTGAATGAAAAATAATTATTTCTTTAAAATGGGAATGAGTTTCATGCACATATTTACAAATAACACTCTCGGAAATCACCATGATTTCCAAGATATAAATCAAATGTGATTTATATAACACATATTTAATTTAAAAAGCCAACAGCTTCTGCATGGAACTTGCCTCTTCAGTGAAGAGCGTGTTTGCATAAGAGCAGCTTGGTTCATAGCCCGGATCCAGCCATTCATATCCTCTTGGGTATCAGCACTGAAGTAGTATGTCCGCATCCCTGAATGCTCTGCCTGAGAGCCAATAACAGAATTCTTATTATAAATATATGCCCGCATACCTGTATGAACAGCCTGGGAGGAAAAAAAAAAAAAAGAAAGAAAAATCAGAACAGCTCTTTCATTTTTTTCCCCGCTAAAAAATTTACTGAAAAAAAAACCCTTCCAGATTCTTTGACTGCTGCTTGAATTTTGGGTAAATTATCACACTGCCAAAATGGGCTGTAGTGCAGTGAACTCAGATGGCAGTTCAATTTTCACTGAAATTCCTCTGCCTCCTTCTAGAACTATTAAGCTAAAAGTACAATGCTTCTGTTTGTCATAGTAGGAAATTTCAGCTTTTCATTTGCTTTTAATTGATGCATTTCATTTGTAATAAATACTATACTAAACAAATCTAAGAAATCCTCGATGAGACATGCATAAGCAAGTCAATTTTCCCAGCTCATTTAATAAAGCAATTTATTCAGACAAAACACAGACAAAATTTCAAGCAATTAAACTGCTTATTTAAGAATTGATTATAATGCCTGTTAAGATCTTTTGGTTACAGCGTGCACTTGAACATATATTAGCTGCAAAATCACAAGACTTACTGATAAAGTTAGTAATCCTGATGGAACTATCACAGCACATAATATACTGACAAGTATCTCTGCACACCAAAATACTCCATGAAATTCCACTGCAAACTAGAGGTATTTCGCAATTCCTCCATTAATATGTTCAATATTCAAATGTATTCAACATGGAATGTCTTCGTAACTCTAGGCTAGTTGAATTTAATAAAATCTCACCCACATTTGTATTAGTGATAGTATAGATATTACTAAGTCATACCAGTCCTGAAACACTGTATTTCCTCAAAGTTATTTTACAGATGTGCTTCAGATCAGTAGGGAGAGATTAATCTCCTTACTTTCCAAAAAAACTGAAGACAGTATACTCTGCTTCAAAGCTCTTTTATGATATTAAAATGGAATTAGTAATTTAAACTCCATTTTATAAAACTAAATCTGCTATCATGCACAAAAACTAATAGCATGAAAGGCTGCTGAGACAGGGTTTTTTTAAAAAGAAAAAATTATATCAACGTCTTAATTTGGCCACATCTTCTTTTAGAGGTTAAATGTATTTTGCAAACCTTCCCTAAATAATTGGTCTCTTTATATTGATGAAAACTTCTTCCCATCATTATTCCAAATTAAATAAAAAACCACTCTACAATCACAGATGGCTTCAGAAACACAACAATAGTTTTGACAAAACCCAGGCTATTTAATCCAGTGCAGCCCTCCCTAAACATTATAATTTCAGTTGTTTACCCTGAATTTCCAAAATTACCATACTCTCAGAGACTTGTATCGACAATTTCAAAGAGCAAAATACGTGCTTGCTAATAGAGTGCTTTCAAATTCTGTGGAAAATTTCCTCCCTTTCTATTGCAGCCTGTTCTCCCAAACATGTGAAACGTGGCCTTTTCCTTCTGTGCCCCAAGCAAGGAAGCCTGAGTTTGCTTTGAAAACTGGAGACAAGCAGAACAGTCAGCTACAAAAAGAAGGAGCAGAAGAAGGAAGAGGAAGAAAAGGTTGCATAAAGAAGTCCAAGACTCTCTCCTGCCTGAAAGAGTCTCTGCTTCCCAACAGCACTGGCCAATAAGGGAATACAAGGTGATTTCTCCTCCCTTCCCACAACTAGCTACCTACCTTAGTACAGGAAAACAGGACCTCCATACATTAAACAGCAGCTCTGATCAATCACATATTTAGGAATCAAAAGACTTTGTTCACGTTTGCCTGGTTCAGTTCTTTGGCTTTTCTTTGTTGTTATTGAGGGTTGTCTTTTTTTTTAATTTTTTTGGCCATTTTGACTGCACTAAAATGCTCAAAGCAAATAGGATTTAGAAGTATTAATTCATTTCAATTTATGTTTAGCATCCAGTGTATGAAGAGAAAAACAAAACTAGCAGCTTCAGATATAAAGGAAAACAGTGATTTTAATGCGAGACTTTAGGACTACATTGCTCCTTCAGAGATCATGTTGAGCCCATAGAAGATGTTAAAATTCAGAAGTGAAGTGACTCCTGCAGAAAACCAGACTACATATGCCCCACTGGAGATGGTGCAGTAGGACCCAACCACTCACTGGTTATACACTTGCTTAAAAGAAACAGAAGCTTGGGTAACTATCAGCAGCGACTGTGCAGCACATCAAGAAATGGATTTAACAGCTGTCTTAACTGACCTGTACATCCCAATCAACATAACCCACCTGCATTTTAGGTTCTCTTTCAGCTGTGCATGCTGAACACAGCTGAAAGCACTGCCTAAGAGGCTCTAGGTGAAAACAGTATAAAAATGCAAACTGTGTTGCACCATTCTCCCTTGAGACTGGAGCTATCACAGCCATAAACATTCACAGCTTCAGAAGGGATAATAGAGATGGTGTGCAATAATCAACAAACACAGCATTCTGAAGTTTGTAATATAAAACACTGTTAAAGGAAAATTTAAATTTATTTCAGTTATTTATTAGTAGCATGTCTTATATGCAAGAAAGCACTTTGTGCCAATGGCCTGTAGCTGTAACTGCTAGCAGACAGAAGCTAGCAGGTTTTTTGGTTTGGTTTTTTTTTTAAAGCAAAAGCCATTAGGATGACTACAGCATACTAAAAAGCCTAAAACACAGCACATGCGCACATGTACGCCATACACACAACAGGGAAAAAATAATATTGGTACCTATTCATGCATTCAGATGCCTTAATGTAGATACACTGAGAAGAAAAGCAGTCTCTCTCCCATAGTGCACAGTAGGAGAAATGGACAGTAAACCCCAAGAGCATATCAACAGGACAAGACAAGGACAAAAAGTTAAACAAGTTAAAATCAGTAAAAGATTCATGTTTCCAAGACAATACTTATCAAAAGACTATACTAAAAGTAACTAATGCCTACAGCAGTTATGTTCACCTCCACTTGTTCAAAATTCCTAGGAGAGAATAAGACACCATTCATAGGACAAGCAGATGGGGAAGGGAATAGTTTTCTAATAACTGTAAACTTTCAAAATTAGTTCTCTCAGTAAGCTATAATGTACAGGAAATTCTCCCTTTTCCTGAAGTTTGATATTTATGAACCATTTATGAGTAAAAATTGAAATAATACTCTGACCCTTCCTTACAAACTCAACAATAGCACACTGCAATCTAACTCGTCTTTCACCCTCAAATAATATTGAGCTTTTTAAGGACTTGTAGAAACTTGAACACTCCCCTCTTCCAGATTTTAAAACAGCAGCCCTCAAATTTATAGCCCTTGGCATTTCTTCACCTGACTCCCCAGACTGGAAGAAGTTCTATAAGCAATATGGGAGCCTAAGGAAGCATCACTGATTCAGAGAACATAAAGGAACAAACTGTGACAATTTTCTTTTTTTTTTTTTAATGAAAATCATTGAGATCAAGGAAACAGATACGAAGTTTGCCCTGGTCCCAGCAGGTCTAAGCAATGAACAAATACTTCCACTAGTAAGACCTAGAGTGTCAATAATAAAGAGAAGGTTTTTTTTTAAACCCAAGCTGCAGTAGCCTCCTCTGGAAGTTAATGACTTGGTCTGGCTTCCGAGGCTCTGCATGTTCTCATGCTGAAAAGGTGAACCTCTGAAAATATGTTAAAAGTAGTATCAATACAAAAGTTGTAATGTGTGTCTCCAATGCTACTTCCTACCTCTTACAGGAACACCAGACTATTCTTCACTGACTTTATTTGGTACCAAGATATACACCTAAATACAAATATATACTTGCATACACTGTCTTGGCATGAAGTTTTCTTGTTTTCTTCACAGCAAACTCTGGTAGGCCTTCCAAATTTTTCAATTTTTATTACTGTCAGATTCATATAAATACGTTTACTTTCAGTATTCTCTCATATTTTAACACATATAAGACCGATTAAAAATAATTTTCATGATTGAGGACAACAAGGCTTCTAAAGAGACTGTGATGACATGAACGTTCATAAACTGATACTATTCATGTTTAAAACTGATCTATTACTAAAACATACAGTCAATTCTCTGTTAATCACAAGGAGTATTTACAGGTATAAATTAATGTTGTGTAAGCCTTTTCACATTATAAACCTAAACACTGGATTTGTGCTCACTTACATTCGTATCAACAAAAAAATTACTGTACTTTAAAATACAGCAATTAGATTAATTAAATATCTTTAGGACACTAGCTACCGATTAAATATGCAGTAAGAACCCTGAGTTCTCAGCTGTCATATAGCTTAGAGACAGTAGCTTACAGCTAGTCACAGCACTTGGCTTGGGCCAAATAAACAATGTAAAAAAATTGTGAAGACAGAAACTTAAAAGCAGAGTTTCTAAACAAAACAATTTAACACACGTACTGCTACACTTCAAAGTAGGGGTTTGATTGCATTTGAAAAGCCTGTACCCAGTTCTGCAGGCCTATGATTGTTAAACACCCAAAGAGACACAAGAGCTTAAAGCTGGGCCTCAGGAGGTGATGAATGGAAAAGCATTTTGAGAACTCCTGCAGTGCACATTTTAAATTATCAGGGTTTAACAAACATGCCCTACTGAGCATGTATTTTACAAACCTCCTAAGCAAATCATGTGCAAAAAGCATCCATGTATTTGCTACGTGAATTTCCTTCCTCTAGTTTTGCAAACGAAAATGTTGATTTTCTTCCCTGCAGTTTTACTGTTTCCCTTGCTTCAAAACTCATTGTCACTTAAAACAGCCACTTAAAATGGGAGCCAATACCTCCACTGTAACAGAAGATTTACAACAACCTGAATAAAGGACAGGACAAATGTAAAAAGTGACATGGCACATTCTCCCACTCATTCAGGTCTTAAATGCAAAAAAGTCTTATCTTTATTTTGGGCTTAATCTGCTTGTGTGTTCTATTCCTGGCTGCACTACATTGTGAGACAGAATGTCCGTCTACGCTCTGGATATCGAAGCGCACTGAGGAGATTAGATAAAGGTAATGGCTGGTGAGTGATGGAATGTCAGGACGGTCGTGCTCCTGCTGCTCTGCGCCCACAGCTGACTCTGTGCCCACGGAACGTCAGTGTTGGACAGGGTCCATACAAACAGGAATCTTACAAAATCCTCCTACTGGCCTATGAGTTTGTTCTAAATCAAATAAAACCCCAGCATCAAGCCTGCAGTCAATCATCAAACACCTAAAGCAGAGTTAAAATTGGCCCGATAAACTAATACATGAAATGTTGAGGGGTTTCTTATAGAGATTCTTAGCATAAACTTTCTTTTGCTATCAACACCCTATTTCTATCTATATCAACCTTTTAGTAATGAGCCTGTGTTGAAAGTCTCAGGTTACAGGCTCATGCTGATTTTCAGAAAAAAACTCAGATTAAAGACCTGGTAGAGCTCATACAGGTATGATATCCTAAAAGGAACAGGGGAAGTCTGTATTTGGTTCTGAAAATATTTAACCATGATCACACACCATGGATTCTGCTCCACAGGAAAGGAGAGCCACAACTTGGCCAGTGGTGACTGAAGAGCATGTGTGTAAACAATGTTTCAATAAAATAAAAAGCAGGGAAGCCTAGAAGACTATATTGAGTTCTTCTCTTTCAGTATACATTTCTTGCTAGGAAAAGGCTCTAGAAGAGGAGGGCTTTATGAATCACACTCAGAGAATACTGGAGTGGAATGTTTCTCTTAAACAAAGGTTCCTTTGTAGCTTATCCTGCTATCTCATGCTCAATGCATTTGGAAAAGTACAATAAATATTTCCACAAAGTGTACTCAGTGTTTTTAAACATATTTCCCAAGTTAATATTTGTTTAATAAATTTCAAACCATTATCCACTTGAACACAGAACTGAAAGTAATAAGAGGCAGTCTCAATTTTAAAACTCCCCCCAAAAATTAAAATGCAAGGGAAAATATAGTCTGAGCAGATGTTCTTCATAATTTCAGCACAGAAAACATTTAAACAGAGAGTTTCCTTCTAGATCTCCTAAAGCATGCCTGATCAAAACCTGGTTTGTAAATGATTTTTTTAAAGTACATAGCTCATTTGCTTGACAGAAAAACCAGTTCTGCTCCAAATATTGGTAGACTTTAAATCTGCCACAGGCACATAAGTTTTTAAACTTTGCCTCAGTGGTGCAGCTCAGACAGTCATTTAGAGTCAGGTTTTTACACTGCCAAGAAGAAATGTATGTTTTATTTCATATTTGTGGGTTTTGATAATGAAGACTAGAAGTGTAAATTATACAATTACATTTTTTTAGAAAAAGAAAGATACACAAAACCAACTTCAAACTATATTAAATAAGAGTATTTTTTCCTTTAAAAAGTCCATGCCACTTCGGATGTCTGTAGCTTCCTCCCAAAAAAGGAGAGAAAAACTGCTTACTCTTTTTCCCTTTGAAATCAGGAAAATAAACACCAAAAGCTACAGTATTGTCATTTTCCAACTGTGAGAACTAAGCTATTTCTTTTATTTATTAAAAAACACAACAAAACCAAACATCAGTCCATTATGACATCAAGTACTCTATAAATAAGAAAATCTTTCTTTCAATTTGTAGACAGCACTGGAACAACTTATCAATACTAATTTCTAATTTTAGAAACAGGATCTTTACTCACAGACACTTCATTAAGCTCTAAAGACACTTACAAAGTAACAGACATGAATGTCAATTCATAAGCAACAAAAAAGTGCTATGTCACATTTGGACAGGCAGTCAATAAACCTGTCTACTTTTAAAAAATAATAATAAACAGATTAGGAAAACAGATGATGTTTCTGTTTACAGAAGCAGCATTTCTAATGCAAATAAACTACGATTGGTTAATAAGGCTTGTAAACTGTACCTTAAAAGAAAACTTGCGATTTATACGATCTTCAGGTCCAACTGGAGATATGACATAACTAGGCAAGGGTATGCTCCCCAGAACAGACTCTTCTCTGCTGTCTGTTGAATAAAAGAAATAGAATTTAATTCCCTGCACTATTCAGTGGGCTAACAACACATTCTCCTTTATGGGCACACAGACAACAGTCGTTCAGTAGAAAGAAGAGCAGTTCAGATTGGATATAAGGAAAATAATTTTCCCCATGAGGACAGAGCAGCAAGGGAACAGGGCAACCAGGAAGGTTGTGCCATCTCCATCCTTGGAGGTTTTCAACGCCTGACTAGTTTAAGCCCTGAGCAACCTGGGCTGACTCCTTTCCTGACCCTGCTTTCACCAGGCAGTAGGGCAAGACACTTGCTGAAGACCCTTCTGACCTGAACTCACTTGTGACTCAACACTAAAAACACACACAGAAAAATGTTTTATTTTTAAAGAAACAAGATTGAATTTTTTTTCAAATCAGTTTGGTTTTTTATTGAGGTTTGTTCTTTTCTTGGGGGGTGAGTGGGTGGATGTTGGTTTTTTAGGTTCAGCCAGAAGACTACACTTCAAGAATAAAGCTTATTGTGCCAAATGAACTGTGACAGGCTGCATGACATGACGGACCTTCCATTTAGCATTGTTCATCTAGGCTAATTGCTATAATTAGGAAACCTCTATTACTGCTGGCTCTAAGTGATCATCAGTAAAAATGCAGTGCCTAGGAATATGAATTTCAAGTTTCATGTTCTGTAATCCTTTCAATCTTCAAAAGCAATATTCAAAACTTGAAAATAGCCTTATGTAATACCATTATTCCGAATTTGGCCCAAGATCACATCTAACCTTTTTTTGGTAGATTACTGGATTCAGAAGTTCTCACTCTTACATTGCCCCTTGGATTAAAGCTGAATCAGTACCCTGATCTGGCCATAGCAAGTTCTCAAAAAACTCAGATCTCCAAGTGCAAGCAGGTAGGTAACACAACACAGACCAGAGAGGGGATAAATCTTATTTATTGCAGTCAAGTGTTCTGCAATGTAAACCTTGGCATATATCAAAGATAAGCTGTAAGACAAAATATCATACAGCATCTCCTGCTTCCCCTACTCTAGACCTAAATTTGCTGCACATTAGAAACGTACAGACAAACACCTGTTTCACTATTCATCTTCTCAAAATACCTAACTCTAGCTGAACAGTTCAATTAGTTCATTAATTTAGTGTGATTTGTACAGAAGAACTGTTACAGACTAACTCAAAACAGCTAGTATCTACTCACCTTTGTAGTAAAACAAACAATAATCAGCAAGCACAAACCATCGCCTTTTCCATAATCGCATTCCAGAGCTATCCTGAAATGCAAGAAATGCAACATACTTTTCATTTAATGGAAGTTAACAGCTTATCATACAATGCTGATCCAGTGAGTAGTTTACCAGAAGTTTACCTAAATATGATTAATACTTGCAAAACAAGTGCTTTCTATTTTAGCAAAACATTATGTACTAAGAAAGATAAGAGGCAAAACATCCAGCTATAAAATAATGAGGGCAGAATATTCCAACTGCTAATTTTCATTAAGTAATTAAACTTGCATCCCAAACAGCATTGAGATTAACCTTATACACAACCAATGCATATTTTATCTACACAGATTTATCTGCAATAAAGAAACAAAATATACTTCCAACAACAAACTCCAACAAAAACTGCCTGTAGACCAAGACAAAAATCACTACACAGTTGTGAAGTATGACATCAGATTTCAGGCAATGATATCCTATAATTCTACAGTCAATCTCCATATGTCACCCATGCCTAAAACATAATTTAATAAAATATTCCTTAGGAAATAAAACAGGGTGCATAATGTGCAAATTTTAATGAAGTGTAATATAATATGCCTGTGGAGATCCATATATATCTATCTCTATCCATGTATATATATATATCACCTTGTCAAAATGAGTAATATTTGCATTGAAATTAATTTTAGAAGCTTGTGAAATTGCCAGACTGTAACCTAAGGAAGTACAACTTATTCAGCTCAGGTAGGCTTTGATAAGACCAGCAGCATAGAAAGCATCTTCAGGCTTTAAGAGTTCACAAGCAGAGGTAAGGGGACAGAAGGAAACAGGATATACAACATTACTCCAGTTATTCCCCTCCTCCTTTCTGCAGTCAAATTAAGTATGCAGGGACTTTCTTCCCTTCCTATTTTCATGCTACAATGTTGTCAACACACACTGTGTCCGAGTTCTGATTCTGTCCTGAAAACTAATGGACTTGGGTAGTAGATGTCAACAGAGCTGAGACCAGAACACAGAAGAATTACAGCTCTCCAAGCAGGAGGAAGTGAACGGCTGTCAGCACTTCCCTCTACATATAACTGTAAGCCTGAGATTTCAGCCTTCTCCTGCTCATCCCTAAACTTTCCTACTGGATCTCTGGTGATAATCTGGTGGCCGCCGACTGCCAAATTAGAAGTAGGGAAATATTCTCATACAACAAACAGCTTTATTTATTTATTGCACTCAAGGATGTGCTTCTGTCAGGCTTAAGAGTTCAAGATGTAGCAGCTGTAGAAGTCTGTTCACTGATGAAATTCTATAATCCAGCCTTTGCTGGATACTGTTCTTGGTGACAGCAATGTCTGATGAATGGGTCCCTGTTTCCCTTATTTTTTTCCCTCCTGCTTTTGGAAAACAAAAGGTATGTGGGTTGGAATTAAGCCTTGATGGGGGTAGAATGGCATAAGCAAGCAGATGGAATAAGGTCTTCACAGCCAGCGTTGTTCTGAGGGAGATCAAGATCATCATGGCAAGAAGCCACCAGGATTAAACCAGGAAAATAACAAGATTTAGACAACAATGTTATAGCTTCAACATTTAACCATGATGGTGACATCTATTTATCATTTTTCCACCTCTGAATCAAACCTGTATGTAAACCTTGGTTTTCACACTCACTGAGCACAAATTCCTCATTACAGAAGCCTGTGGGAATATCCAACACTGCACTGTGTCACCAACACTTGAGCTTCTGCTTTTTCAGTTACTTGGAAGGCACTTGCTTTTACTTGATGATTGTACTGAAGTATATGAACAGAAAATAGTGATCACATGCATACCTGTTTGTGTAGCCAGCCTCTTACTATAACAGGAACATTGGGATTCCTCCTGATAGCTTGTTCCCTCTTTCCAAAGCTATGCACTTTGCTTCCAGCCTTCACAACCTGTAAAGAAGTACAATGTAGTAGTGGTTTTTAAACTGTACTGAGACTCATTTCATATTACAAATAACCTCACTGCAATAACTCATACCTCATTAAACACTAACAAAGTATTCATAGCATTTTCAAGGGCAAGTAAACAGGTAATGATATTTACAACATAGCAAAGTCAATCTTCCTCTTTCATCAACATATTAGTGCCAGGATGGTCTGCCAACTCCCAGCTGAACAGCAGCAGCACTGATGTGTCAAGTCAGAAAGGCAGAACTATGGAACTTTTAGTGTGCCTGGGAAGTATTTTTGAAAGCTGCATGCAAATCTGTCTCTGGTAGCTGGGTGTCAATGCAATATAAGTCTCTTACACACACAGGACTTTGAGCACACAGGACTTGCTCTTCTTTGTTTGGGTTTTTCGTGTTAGTTTTTTTGGTTGATTTTATTTTTCTTTCCTGTTTAAATTCAAACAACATTGATAGCTTAATAAAATGCTTGGACTTTGACCCTGCAAACAAAAGGAGAAGACAGACTGATGGTCAGGAAGGGAAGAGACCTAGACAGCAGTGGAAATCACGAGAATTGGGTAATGATTTGTTTGTTACCGAAACCTCAGTTTTGACTCACATGGGCAAAACTATTTCAAAAACAAACATAGTAAGCCCATCCATCTGTGAAAAAGCAAGAATCTCTGGATGAATAATTTGCCTGTTCTTTTCCAACCTCAGCACAGTTTGCTCCTCCAATGCCTTTAGGAACCTGAGATGCACACACCGCCCTTAGAGTTGCGCCTGACCTCTCCAAGAAAAGAACTGTCCAGATTCCTTCCTACAGTGTCTCACTTTTTAATCTCTTATCTCAGCTCAACAGGGTACAGATGTTCTGTGAGCTGCAGACAAACAACAGCTCTGGAAACAAGTACATTTGTCATGCACAAGGGATAACATCAGAAAAATATCTCATCATACTGCTCCTGCCAGTCAAACAACACTTGGACTAGAAGACAGCATACATAATAATAAATTATTCTAGCAATATACGATAACTTTAAACGGATTCTGTTCATTTTGAGGCCAAGCTTTACCAGTCTGCACTATATTTCCTATCTTTATGAAGAGTTGAGATAATAGCTATAAACAGTAAGAAAAACAATTATTTCTTTGGTACTATAGCATATAAAACAGAGACACAGATGTTAACACTTGTAAGGAGCCGTCAAAGGGCAGATTTTCTTAGGTACTTTCCCCAAGGTGTGCTCCCCAGGAAGCAGAATGCTGCTTCCAGCTCTGCTGAGGAGTCAGGTGAGATGCATGTCACGGTCATTTCGGTGAAACGCCCTGACATTTTGGTGACAGGAAGAATGCCAAGTATGGGCTTTTCCCTAGGAGTGACACCTCACCAGACACCTTGGTGAGAGCCTGCACAGGACTCAGCTGTGCCCCAGAGCAGCACCTGAGCAGACAGCTCTCTAGGGCTAGCACAAACCCAAAAGGCCAGGGTGTAAAAAGCAACTGGTTTCTAAGCAGGTGCTTCTGACACCCAGATGCCAAGAATCAGCTCACAGTAAAAGTCAGGTGAGGATGGTACTGCCAAGATATTCCAGCCCGTTTCTCTGCCATACCTGTGCTAAGGCACTCAACTAACAGGCTGCAGAGCACCTGCTTTGGGTAAACACAGCGTGTTGACTGGGACCACAAAAATATTTCTGGGTACTCACTCAGAGACCTACAAGCAGCAAGTCTGACATGAAAGGAAGGAAGTAGTAAGATGTTAGGGATTTTGTGTTTGCTACTGAAAATATTTCAAAAGATAACTTGCAAACCTGTGTCCAAATACCACTTTAAACAAACACACAAGGGTGTATCACGAGGTCAGCCAAGCTCTGGATGATCATACCATGGCCAATCCATATATGGGGATTTTTTAAGAAAAATGAGAAGTAAATATTTCAGTGGAGTTTTAAAAAATCGTTGTCAAAAGTTAAGATGCAACAACTACAACGGCGATAAAAATAATGGGGCCCAAATTGTTTAAAGCTCTGAAAGTGAAAAATTTACACTGTGCACCTGAACAGAAATCATACAGAACATACAGAATTTAGTTTCCAAATTTTTCTTTCTCATAGTTCTCCTTGGAAGGTTGGATGAAATGAGGAAGAGTTAAAGTTGATCCTGCTGATCTAGGCTTACAGCAGCATTTAAATTTGATTTTTTTTCATCAGATCCCTCGTCAGTGAGCAAGCACGTTGGTAGTCTCTCATCTTACTTAATTTAAAAAACATGCAGACCATAACATAGAAAAGTCATCCTTGGACCTGGTCAAAAGACCAAACAATTTCTATGGCATCAATACAATACCCATAATGGAAATAAAATTATCATTTTATGGTGCTTTATGTAATTAAAATTCTCATATCATCTTCAGTATTAATCATCCCGTTCTGCTCTGGAATAAAACAAAGCATAACAGACACTGCATGTCACACCTTGCTTTCACTGGCTAGACTGAAGAGTTAGTTTAAAAGAAAAGGTATATATTTTAAACTACTTGTCTGTATTGCAGTAGTCTTTTCCTAACTTAAATTATTCTGATATCATTGTCATGTGTTGAAAAATGCAGGTCAGCACAGCTGTCTGTGTCACTGAAGACACAGGAGTCACTTTTGACTTCAGTACCTTTGTCATGCTGACTTTGTGAGTGGTGCTTAAGTTTTTGTGAAAAAAAAAAAAAAAAGAAAAGTGAAAGAGCCCCAAAGTTTTCAAATCCCTTTTCAGCACCACCGCATCTTCCTTACAGTAGCTTCCAGCTGAGAAGAAAAGTTCCTAAATTAATTGCAAAATATGATTTTTTTTTCTTTTTTTTTTAAACTGAATAACCAAAAAAAAAATGTAGACAGACTTTTATTTGGAACAGATTTTCTAAACAGTAAAAATGAAGACTGCATCTTGGTCAAAGTATGCGAATATATATACATAAGAGAACATGTAACTTTCAATATGGAGGGAATTAAAAAAAAATGTAAAAAAACCCCAACCCACAAAGCCTCACCTGTTTAAGTCAAACTTTTTCATTCAAAAAATCTCAGTGTTTCACTTAGAAATGAACTTATGAATTCTTTCAGTATCTCTAAGAAAATGATAAAAAAATCCTTATTTTTCAGATAGGAAAAACCAAAACTCTCAGAAAATCCCACTCTTAATTTTGAGCATTCATATACAGTGGTCGTGAATTAAACATTGTGTTTTACACTCCAGCCCAGCCCCAGACAGTCCCACAGAGCTGGCACCATCACATAGCTGTCACCACTGCCTGTTCCTCCCAACCACTAGCCTCATTCTTTACTTGTTGTATTCCTCACCAGTTTATCTTGGAAAAATACCAGCAACTATCAGTGTCATCAACAATTCAATTACTTCTCTCATGCAAAATCCATCCAAAACACGCTATCAAAATGTAGGTAGTAATAAATACATACACTACTCTTCTTTACATTCTTAACTTGCCCCAAGTCCTGTATAGCACACTAACATTTACAAACTTCCATTCACACCATCAGATGCTCTAACAGACTAAATTTCCACAGTACCTTACTCCCAATCTGAAACAGTTCTTTTTTCCTCCATATCCTTAATTTTTAATCAACAGAAATGGCTTTTAATATGGTAATTGAATTGGCTATGAACAAGCAGACCTTCGGGACACAGAACGATTGCAGTTTATCAACATTCCATTTTGCTTTTCATTCTCTCAACCCAATACCCCTCAAATGTCAAAAAGCATTGGTCTGTAGACTGCACTGGTCTGAAGTCTTCATATGACATACTCAGATAGTTCCTCCATCAAAACGGTGTACAAGAATCTATGTGCATTTCTGCAAAACTGCCCATCTCAGGTGTCTTACAAAGCAAAGGCAATTATACATTTACATGCACATGAATGAAACATAATGACATTTTGGTAAATGAGAGCTTCATTTTGGCTTTTTTCTTTTTCTTCTTTTCAACATGCTGCTCTTGTTGTACACTGTACAACTGACACTGTTGGAAAGAAATTGTGAAATTCTTTTTCCAAAGAATCAATTCAAGTTCAGACCTGAGCACTGCAACAAGCAAGCCAGAAGTTTTCCTTTGATCTTGAACTGAAAATGACATATCTGCTGTACATTTGGCAGCTTACCTTTCCCCCCCCCTCCACCCCAAATGTGGCAACTCTTAGCTGCCAACTTTCTAAAGAAGAATCAAGCGGAAAGCCAGGTATCTGTTTCTGCACTTTCTGATTTGGTATTACTTCAATGTGCATAGCTCTGTCTAAAAAGAACCAGTTTAAATTTGGCCAGGATTCCAATATTACGCATACACTATTCTGTGATGGCACTTGTAGGACAAAATTATTACAGCATTTCATAAAAGATAATAATTAGCCATGGGTAGGTAGACATCTGTACCATGAACGTGTTTCTTGCTTCATGATTGTGCCTCAATTCTGCAACTGGGAACTCACTCTTTGAAAGAGCGATTATGGAACTGATGGAGAAAAACCACTCAGAAATAGATAAAAGGACCTTAAAATCTACTCTCAACCTGCCAAAAGTCAACCTCAAACAGAGGACACAGGTTATTCATTTTATAGCCTTTGTTCTCATTGTCAGTTCACTTGAATTAATTTTTGTGTTAGGCTGTGAAGGAATTCAACAGATCTTCTGACTACAGAACAAGAGAAATTATGTCAAGCCTGGAAACACATGCAATGATGAAACGAAGCATACAGAAGAAAGATGTTGGTTCTCTCTCTTAATTAATCCAGTATTTATTAAGGGCCAGCAGCGGGACAGATCTTATAAAAACAACCGTGGTGGAGAAGCAAAGTACAGGCAAGCCCTCTGCAAAAGCTCTATCCTAAGTCTAAAGCTGCCATGTATTAAAAAAATGCTCCACCTGGGAGCCTGCCAGAAGCATATGTGGCCACACTTACACAGGACAGCAAACAGAACAGAAGCAGAGACCAAAAACAGATAAACTGAAGTTTTGGGAGGAGGTTCTGGATATTCTCCAAGCTGTGATGAAAAAAGTATTACCCTCACCTTTAGCTGTGCAATTCTGACATCCCCAGTGATTCAGTCTGTAGCACATGAACAGCCCTGTAAGCTGTACCCAGTCACCATTTTTGATCTCTGATTAGATCAGTGCAAGCATGTGACAAAGGGAAACAGCAGCAGCAGGTGACAGAGGATGCACACTTCCTGGCACAAGTGCAATCCTGGGTACGTTAAAGCCAACTGTGTCACTGAAAAATTGCCCTGCTCAAAGCAGAGTATCAGGTCTCCAGCAAGTCTGCTGGTTTTAGGAGTGAAAAAAATGAACCTTCTGCCTCTAATGCCTCTAAGGCTCAAAAAAAAATCAGAGTAAGGAGGATAAATAAAGTAAACACTAATGCTGATGTACTTTGGTAAATTCATACGTTAGTATAAGAAAAAGAAACATATCAAGTAATTCAGGTAACCTACCAAGCTTACTGTTTTCAGTGATAACTTCAACTAGCACTTTAAAGATAAATGTACTCTTGAGATTTGACACACAACAGTCTTTTATGTTGGTGAGTGACTTAAACACTTTGGACCTAAAAAAATATTTTTTTAAATTGTTTTTTAAGTTTTCATGAAATTCTCTGCATCTTCTTCAATATTCACCTAAGCATATCAAAACATCAGAAAAATATTTCATATATACAACAGAAATATCTTTGCAACCAATTCAGCAAAGTCCTTTCTTCAACTCAATTATATAAGAAGCTGCTCACTTCTGCATTTTAAAAAAACTGAGAAGTTTAAGATCTGAGGGCAAAGTTAAGAAATCTATCTTATATCTGCTAATTCTTCCAGCATTGCTTTTTTTCCTTTTTATCCACCCACTAGCATTCTCACTGTACTATAATTTACTGTAAGGTCAAAGAAGCATTAAGATAGCTGGTGACACTTCAAGTACAGCATTTTATTATATTTTGTGCAATAATAAACACAGCCCTTTGTCAATGACAAAGAATGCTATTAAACATTTTCTTCTTCTATTAAACATTACGAGTGTAAACTTAGTGCCTTCACTGTTTTTGAACTGCACTGATGGCAGAGAGGATTTAAGGAGGAGGAACAGCAGTAAGGTCTCATGGAAAATTTATATATATATATAAAAATTACAATTCTTGGTAGTCTGCAGCACTTCTTGCCATATATACTGGACTATCAAAAAACTTGGTGAAATACTAGTATGATATATACTTACTTCCATTCATAAGAAGACTCTCAAACTTCCCATGTCACAATAATCCCTATTTTTCAAATTATATTCAACAATATCATCTGGGTATACAGTGCTTCTAAAAGTACTGTAACACTGCTGTTACAGCTGCATACAATGCTGCAAAAAGATTTTTGCTTGAGCAGAAGACACTACTTCTTCTTTGAGGTCCTACTACACTTCTAGGCTAAATCTATGGCCATATTAAAACCAGCATTAAAAGAGTATTGGATTTAAAGTGAGTAAAGTTCTAGTCAACAAGCTGAAACAATAGCTTTTTCCTTTACCTTAGAGCCAGGTTTTGTATCAACAGCAGATGTAGTTACCGCAGTGGACGTTTCACTGACCATGCTTGAAGGTCTTTGGTTTATTTGTTGCTTGGACATAGATGAATTCTGTCTAGAAAATAAACAAAACCAGATAATTTAAAGCACATTGTTTCAAACAGTCAGCTTTGCCTTTTCATATTTAAGATTCACAGTGTGCAAATGAATGACAGGCTAGTCAAATATTTCCCATGAATCTGCAACTTCCTTTGCACCACTCCAGTTATTTTCATTTCAGGTCTTTCTCAAGCAGATGCTGCCAGTGACATCTGATGATTGGTATTTGTCTATGTATCAGGAGCGAAAAAACTGCTAAAGAGAACCAAGATTTAACAAAGAGTACTCAGAGAGGGCTAATGCAGAGAAACTAAACTGTGCCCAATTTAGAGACTTGGCTGCAAACGTGAAAGAGCAAATACTGGGGAGGGAAAGACAGGAATCAGCACTTTGCAATAACAGGCTTCTTATTTAAAATCAAAGTGAGACCAGTCTACCGTTAGATCTTTCACTAACTTAATGTTAGATCTTTGAATCTGCCCAAAATATGATTCATACCATAATATGAATTATTAAAACACTCTTTTAGTGAAATGATGCAATTCATGGCAGATATTGTTAGAAATATGTAACTTCTGAGTCATACTAAGATTCCAGAAAACCTGATAACTAGCTCAGATACCCATTTAAAGCACAGGTGAGGTCAATCCCACCAGAAGAACCCATTCAACAAGTAAGAATTCAGTACAGCTGCCCAGATGAAGAAATAAGAGGATAAATGGAGGGGCAAAATGTTGTTGAATCGCATAGGCAAGTTGCGAAGAGAAGCCCCAGCAGTCAAGCTTGACACCAACCCGTGAATTAAAACTATAGGTGGCATTTTCAAAAATCATTAACGACATAATTTAGCAAATTGTATTTTAGGAATAAGTAGCAATATGGTCACATCAGAAAACAAAATAAAACAAACAATAAACAACACATGATTTTCCTTTTGCCATCTCAGTAAGTCAGCAAAGCCAGTTATTTAAAAAAAACCAAAAAATATGACATACAAGCCACACCAAACATGGCTGTTGCTAGCACTTAAATTCATTCCAGTTCTGAACACAACAGAAAACAGAGTAACTCTGAGCAGTTAACACTCATGAGAACAGAGAAGAATAGTTTGTGATTGTAGCAGCTAAACATGAGATTTATCTAAGTCAAGGCGTTTGCCATCACTGCTCTTCCTCAGTTACAATCTCAACAATTACCAGTCCAAAGGCTTTTACAGGTGATTTGCTGTCAGGGAAAGCACATTTTTCCATTTATTACCACAGAGTTTCAATTAAGCTTGCAAGCAAGTAACACAACCTTGGTCCCATTTTCTTTATGCCTTGCTTATTTGGCTTAAGTCCCTTCTTGCTAGACTTTATACATAAGCTCAGGTCCAAGATATGAGAACAAACTACAGCAAGGCCAGGCCAAAATTCCTGGCCATCCTTTAAACCATGAGAGCTTCATCATATCATTTGAGTCAGTTTGCCTCATCTCTTACGGACCAGGTATCCTACTTCAACATTTAATTGGCATTTGGAATATACAGTTAAAAGATTAAGACACTTTCCATATATGAAACTGCCTAAGCTATTTCTGTCTTGCTCCCTTCCCACTTTATAAACTTTCAAAATAGGTAGAAAATACAGATGTACAACGTGCCTGCATCTTACTTGCCTTCTCCTAATATCTACTTACCAAAATAGTTCCATTTCCCTGTTCAAGGCAACTAAACCAAGAGTAGGTACTTCAGTGAGGGAGGAACACTAACAGGGATGTGAGAATCACCTACACTGCTTCCTCAAAATGGAAAATATTAGATTTTATATCATTAAGAAAGCCACTAGAATTGAGTCACAAAAGCATGAAACCAAAACACATCCAAGGAAGATGTCTGGCTTCAGAAGACAAGAGATTTCCCTTCTTTCCTTGAGGTTTAGATTCTCTACAAGGTCCCCACACTGTAGGACAGTCACACGTTATTATCCAGGTACTTACTGGGTCAAGGAGGGAGGAAAGGAGAAGGTGGAAAGAGCACATAACACACATGTTCAGAAAACCCGTTGCCTTTCCAGACTTTAGATAATATGATTGGATTACGTTCCTTCCTTCTAATAGAGTAGCTATTTCAGAGAGCTAACTTTCTCAGAAAAGAGAAAAATGAAAAATAAAATTTAATTTTTGACAAATTGGAATTAATTTTTCCAATAAAAAATTAATTAAAAAAAAGATGAATAATCCCAGAGGAATGGTTTCAATTTAAAAATTCAACTCTGATTGAACTGATTTTCACTATTCCCCAAGATAATGTTCACAGCTGGTAAAACCTACTTCACTTTTCAAAAAAAAAAAAAAAATAGAAAAACTAGAGAGGAAGATAAGCTTTATATGTTTAACAAGACCATCACTATCAGAAAATCATAATGCAATGATGAATGTGTAATTTCTAAGCATTTATTATGTGGCCATGTAGTGATTTCTCTTCCATTTGCTACTGGAAGTGATCACTGCCAATAAATTGAGCTTTCCTTTTCTAGTAGTACCAAATTAATGATGAACTTCAAATTCACAAGGAGAAAATGCTTTTTAAAAATGTGAGGTTGTTGCCATGGAAGAATTCAAATAGCCAGCAAAAGAGACATTTAGTCCATTGAAAGAGAAAATACAATATTATTCTCCTAAAAAAAAAAAGTCTTTGTCAGCAAATACTGGTTATCCAAACTTGCTGTATCTGACATGTAACAGAAAACACCAAACAATATTGAAAATTAACTTCAGTATTTGTATATATTTCAAGGATACAACAGATTTGTTGCATGAAATCAGAACATAACAAAACTCAGGTATTCAAGTCTCTTAATAGCTAATTAATATTCTCAGTCTGTTTTTAAATCAAATAAAAATAGGCAGAATATGAAGAATTACATGAAACATCCTGGCACGTTAATGGAGTTAATGCTGTTCTAACAGTATTTGCAGATTCAACTTTAAAAATAAGTGACTACAGCACTAATGGTGCATTCAGAAGCATTAGTTCAATATCACTATCACCAAAGATGTCTGATAATATCTGTTATCCAAGATACCACATTCTGTCTTCATAGTGAGGGGTTTTGACTATTTTCAGGCTGGTTTTCTTAGTGCCTCCCCCGAGTGTGTGCATACACACACAGAATTGCAGTATGTACATTTGGAGCCCCAGTACCGTGTAAATTTTTTTAAGTACTTGAAAATAACACTCTATATAGTAGCTCCTGTCAAGCAGCTCCCTGCACTACTTATGCAGTGCTAGTATGTCTACAGAAATAACATTTACCAGCTAAAAGAATTATATAGCCAATATTTGGGTTATTAAAACCAACACTGGACAACAACAATAAAAAAACCAACTATATTGAAAATGCAATACTCATGAGAGAACACATTCCTTTGCTCTAATGGACCATAAAGATCAGTCAACTTGGAAGATCAACATTCACAACTGCAACTTAAAAAGTTAATTTTGTTGTATCATACACGATGCAATAACATCGTGTCAATCTGGTTTTAATACTCATAAATCTCCTAATCAGCTAGATAAAAAAAATAACTGTCCTAGTACTTCTATATATGTAAACATGGCAGATATTTATTTCGGGGTTGTTTGGGTCTCCTCTTTTCTCTCCACCTGATATTTTTGCTGCTATAGTAACCAAACCCAATAAATAAAATAAGATGGCTCTCTACCCAGAGGTAATACAAAGGTTTCATCAGTCACACAAAAACAGGCAAGAAAGAAGATAACATTCACTGGATTAAGCACACTGTATTTTTTTCCCCCTATATGTCTACATTTATGTTCAAGTCTAATCTTTTCTAAAGGATAAAGTACTATCTTCTCATTCGCAAACACACTACTATGGCAAATACATCATATAGATCCTAATACACAACTACTAGTGTTTAACACAGATAAAATTAGGTATGTGGGTCCATATGCCTTGTTCTTCCTTTCTGTATACAATTTCTTTAAATAACAATTCTTTAAGTAAGATAAGAGAGGAGAAATCTAAACAGTACATACATCTATCCTAAGAAATTCTATATCATAGGTTTTTCAGAAAAACACTTATGTAACAATGAGGTAAAATAAACCTAACACCTATCTGGCAGCCTTATCATTAATTCTCAGTTTTCCACTGGTTGTTTGAGAAAGGTCCTTTTGTGGATTAAGGGTTCATTAAAAACATGAAAGTACAGCACAGAAATCAAGAGGCAGTTGTGAAATGGAAGGAGTCTACCAGAGAGGCATCCCATAAAGCAAGATGCTCAGTTTATTTAGAGATGATCCTAAAAACCGAGTCAATAGAGAACAAAAATTATTCTGGATAAAAACTGAAATGCTGGCAGGAATAGATAAAAAATTAATCTTCAGATATGAGTAACCAAATGATAAGATGCCAAACTGAATTCAGTGTCAACAACAGAAAAGTAATTCAAAAGAGGAAGAAATGAAAAACATCTCTGCAGCTTTTATCACTCAAAACAACACTGGCAAGGAAAGGATATTTTTAAATCTAAGCACAAGGAGTAGCAGCAGCCAAAGTACGTTAAGAATTATTAGTAAAGGCATAGAGAAGGCAAAGTACAATTAAATTAGTATAACAAACAATGAGCTCATGTGCTGAATACTGCATTCACTTATAATCAATCACTCCATCAGAAAAAAAATAAATCTGAAAGCAACATACAGAAAAGCTGGCTCTCAAGCAGAGTTAGTGAAAGGTACTGAACACACGTCCCACACATGAAGTGACCAAACCTGCTAAGCTTGGAAAAACAAAATAAGAGGTAGGGATTTCACAGTGGTCCCAGCTAAGAATGTGTTAGGAAATAAGGAATCACTATTTAAAAAAAAAAATCTAAATAAGAACACCTTTAGGAAGAAGGAATAGTATAAGGATCAAAGATAATATAATTAAAAAATTATAGGTTCCAGCCACAATGGGGTTGAGGAAATCAGATTTCAGCTTAAAAAGCAAAACTGATGTGATATTGTTTAAATGCCTGGGGAAAAGACTAGTGAAATACAGTCTCAGTCTTCTACTGAAAGTACCCAGTTCTCATTTGATCAAGTGAAGCAAGGGCATGTGGTTCACAACTGAGTCACAATCAAGCTAGAATTACATCATTTATTGACGTCATTGTCCAAAACTTGTTTTCAAATCTTCTTGCCAGAACACTGCTTCTAGGATGAGGAATGGCCAGAGTAGTCCTTACATTCATCATTTCTAGATGACTATAAATTACTTTTCTGATGTTAAATGTGCCCTTTTAAATGGATATGTTTGCTGCAGCCTGAACAAGTTTGTGCTTACTTCTCCCCACTAGCTTCCAGTCAATATCTGGTTACAACTCCTGGCTTTGGCCCTAATCTTAAATTAAAATCAACCCATCAGTAATAAATCATGTCACAACCGCACTGAAGAACAAATCATCTTTTATGAAACCCTTAAGAGTGCTACTACTTCAGACAGGATTCTTCAGCTATAGGAAAAAGTATTCTTGGCCAAAGGATCCCACAATGGAAAGTTTCCACAGGCCATGCCAATCCAGAGACTTCCTTTCTGACCAAGTCCTGCTTGTGGAAGTCATTTCATCACATGATATGATCTACTACACTGATTCCAAACTAATACATGATCAACAACTCTGATTGTAAGAAATCTCTGATGCCCGAGGGAAAAGAATGAAAATGTGGCATAGCCCCATTATGATTCCTAAAGACAGGGAGGTGATAGCAGCTACTTTGATTTCAGCAGAGACATCCACAGGTGTCAGGCAGCGTCACTTGACAGGTACTCAGATATGATCGTGATGAACAGCATCTGTGTTAAATCCCCATTGTTGCATAAAAGTGGTATGAAACTGAGGAAACCAGAGCATCCCACACATTTGAAAAAGACATTTTTAAAGCAATTTTAACTTGACAGATTGAAAACATCTACTTTCAAAAACACTGTATGTACTTTAAAGCTTAGAAAAATGTTCTTGCACAGACTGTTTCCACTAAAAACACATCCCTCCAGCCATTCCCTCTTCTTTTAAAATAAAAACCACCTCTTTCTATCAATTCCTACTATAGTTTAAGATTTTTCCTGGTTTTGATACCATCTCAGTGTGAGTAACTGAAGTCTACAGATGCTCATTCATCTGACTGCCCTCCAAATAAGCACCTTCATTTCTCTTCCAAAAAATTTGCTAACAGACACTAAAGATCACTAAAATCACATGCCACCAACAAGCAGTTCTTTCAATTCTGCTTTTAATATTTTATCTGCTACCATGATTACAAAACCAAAAACAGCCTAGGGAAGTATGACTAACCCAAGCAGGCACTTCAAGGAGTTGTATCCAAACAACTATTTTCCAGTACACATCTACAAATTTATATTAAATTTGACTGAAACTTTAAAACAGATGAATCAAAAATCAATCAGTGGATAGAAGTTGGAACACAAATACACAATGGCTATTGTCCATAATGTCTTTCAGATTTACTCCACTGCAATGCACCTGTTCACCTCACTAGATGAGCTGGAGCAGCTTGTTTGCATAACTGGAATGAGACAAACCCCTCTGAGCAGCAAGTCACCTGCGTGCCACTGAACAGCTGGGGTGACCTCCAGCTCAGTAGTCATCCCACAGCCTTCACACTTAATCACAGGCCTCTCCCACAACGTTTTATTTCATGCTAGTTCTCAGCAGGCACCTTAACGTAGAATTGGCTGTTGGCTTTGCTTTGGATTTGGGGGAGGGCAGCTGTTAAGCTGGAGGGTTTTGTTGGAGTTTTGTTGCTAATGTTGTTTTTGTTTGGTTGGTTTGTTTTTTAAACTGTTTGAGAGCTCCTTCTCAGGGCTGTATCAGAACCTCTGAGCTTTACAGTCATGCTCTACCTCCTTCCTCTCCAAGTCCACGGCAGAAGATTTTGCCAGAAAGGATGCAGTCTCCTAGAAGTCTTGCATGGCCCTTCTCTGCGTCTCATTTTTCTTAATAACTACTTTGAATTAAATGTAAAGCAAATTAAATATCAGAGAGTTTGAAATGCAAAGTGTTCAGAATCATGTGGGCAGCCACACAAACCCCCACATCAAGGCCATTACAGCATCATGACCAGCCTCTGTGATAAATGAGGGGCTAGAGGCTGCTTAAACAGTGTTGGAAAAGGAAAAGCTATCTGGTGTTGTCCCATTCTTGTTGCCTTTGGAGCGGTTTTAGAAGTGATGTAGAACCTTCTCCTAGACTCTGTCTCTTCTGTCTAGGGAAAACACCATTACAGTTGTTCCATTACAAGAGGGATTCCAGGAGCAATCCTGTGTACAGCAAGGATGACAGGAGTAGTTAAACCCTACAGTGAAGCAGGGCATGATCCAATCCAAGACCAAAGACGTGCCCAAATTCACCAGTTTGAACGTATGCATATTTCTTCCTTTTTTTTTTTTTATTTTTTTTTCAAATCAGACAATCAAAATAAAATATGCTGGAAACTAATACAATCTACACCATTTCTCCAGAATAAAGAAGAATGCCTAATCAATGTAGAACATCTTAAACATAAGATAATCAAGGAAGTACACTGGAAACTAGTAATATTTTGTGTATTTCAATTTCAGTACAAACCTTTCAGCTTGCTCTAAAAACATTTTTCATTTCTATTCTGTATACCTGATATTCATATAAGGCTAAAGCATCAGTGTTTAAATATCCTATATATATTGCCTTTTCTGTTTGTTTATTTTTGGGTTTGTTTGGGGTTTTTAAAAGATCTGATAAAGATTTTCTCTCAAGCCCTGGCATGGAACACAGCTGGAATCAAAAACATACTATCACAATGAGAAGTAAAATTTTAAGCATAAATCTCAACGACATTTTTGCTACAATATCAGAAGCACTGTTAATAATCTAAAGTACTAATCTACTGTAGGTTAATGTGCTACTGTTTTAGATCTCTTGACATGGGTATAAAATCTACTTACTCTTCTCGCAAAATAAATTCAATATTTTCTGGAGAGACCTGTCCTGTCACAGGATGTCTAAATGACGTGGTCTGCTGATTATGGCTGAAAAGAAAAAAAAAAGAAAAAAGAAAAAAGGAAATTAATATTGCTAAACTCAGTATAATATGATCTCTAAAAGGCAGAACTATTTATATTGATGCTTTACTGCTCTATTCCAGAAATGAAACATATTTCTGAGGTACTTTTCAAGTCTGAAATGTTTTCAGCTCCTTCCTGTGTTCTCGTTGACTTTGCCAATGGCACACTACCATTTAATTATTAAACAAGTTAATGTTTTAAAACTAAACTAGTCACAATCCTTAGTTAGAGAGATACACTTGAATTTATGATCATTTAAACCTGACTATTACCAAATTATTTAAATATAACACATAACATAATTTATTGAATTATGTTTCTGTAACTTTCACAGAACAGAACCACTAAAATAACTTGAAATGCTGCTAGACAACATTTTACACATTTTGTATTATTTAATCAGATCACAGAGACATTATGTGGAAGCCATTTCTTGCATTTTTTTTTTTCTTCTAGTATGGTATTTCTTCAATGATCTGTCTTCACACCTTCATGCAGAGGATCATATGTAACCTTAGCCATTCAGCTGCATGGTCTATATAAAACAACATAATTTAGTATTTTATCTCAGTTGAATTAAAATCAGGAATTTCTATCAACTTTCCCCTCACGGTACTATCTAGATGTTTTGCTAACCCCTGTGAAATACTGCTATTCATTAAAGATAAATATTTTACCTATCTGTGTAACTGCACTCATGCAACACAAAAATATGGAGTGAAGAAAGCTTATTTCAGTTTAAACTGGTAGTCTTCCCTCCTCCCCAAAATCAATTATTTTGGTTAATTGTACAGAAAACACAAGACAATTTCTGTAGAGTCTTATACATAGTGAGCCCTTTATTCTTCTGTCCAAAGGAATGACTCTATAAAAATCACAAATTTTAAAGAAATAAGAAATTAAGGATCTTACTTTAGAATTAGAAAGGTCATGGCTGACAAGCTCTTAGCCTTAGAATTAGAGAGAGTAGTGAACCAAGTGCTCACTTATTCAAGGTTCTGAATTTTTCTGGGTTTATTAACAATTTTTAGATAAACATCCGAACTAGAATTCCCACCAAGTGCAGCAAAACAGTAACACCCTGTGAGTATATTCAGAAAACAAAAATAAAAAGGTGTTCAAAAGGATTATATTTCAAAAAACCAAAAATGAAAACTTGATCAATTTTTTTGTTTAAAGACCTGGAGTTTTTCCTTTCATAACACCCAGCAGTTTCAGGTCTTACAGTTTTGACCCTGTTGTCTAGCACAGCATGATGTCCACCCAAAACCAGAATAAGGCATAAAGAAATATTTTGATGTTTCAGAGTAATGAAATTCCCAAGAGATAACACTCTTTCTGATGAGTAAAGGACAGCTAAAAATCAATCAGCTCATGCAGCCATAACATTCCAAAGTAAGTAGTTCAGGACATGCCTTGATTTAAACAACGAACCAAAAACAAGCAAACCAAAACCAACCAACCAACCAACCAAAAAAACCCCAACAGCAACAAAAATCCCATTAATTGTTCATGCTAAGTCCCACTTGGGCCACAAACAACAGAGGATGTTTGGTGTGCTATAAACTTCTCATCCCTTTTCCCATGTGCCTTGCTACAGGAAGTCAGATATAAGGAACCCATATAACAACATTTCCAATGATAAGCTGAGAGCTGTAACAACTTACATAACACCAAAAGGACTTTCTCCAATGGTGAGAACTGACCTCTCCTACAGCTGTGGGTTAATAAAGGACCTCTGCAGTTTCTAACTCTTCAGCTTTTCCCATGAAATCAGAGATCCAGAGAAAGCATCTCCAGTAAGCACACAGTGCTAACATCAACAAAGTAGCCAGGATCTTTTGCCTCACAAAAAGACTGAGGAGTATTGTTTATTTCTAAAGAAGAGTTTTTATGTAAGTTTATATTTTAATTTTGGGTCTACATCCGAAGAGAGGGACAGGAACTTGCAGATGTTTTCAAAGAAAATAATAAAGCAATTCTAACACTAACAATTATCTCCATGTTTCTCACACAGTCCAGTTTTATGTTGAAAGTGTTTCCTCTCAAATCAGGCCTGAAGCAGTCTGTTTAACCTTGATGCTTAGGTTAGGACTGCTAACAAAAAGGCAGATACCTTATTAGCTTAGAAAAATCAAAGTACCTTGCCAGCTATATTCTCCAGGTGCAGCCAAACTGTCAACAAGCTCTCCTCTGCAGGTTTTTAGTCATTAATAACTCACTCTATAATTAAGACTAAGAAAAAGGACTGTATTCCAGAAATGCTCTAGGGTTGTTTAGGAAGTGAAGTTACCCATTATACCATACTAGCACGTACACAAATGCTTTATTATTTCCCAGGAAATAAATTCACTAGGTCTTCTGAAGATGAATTAGTCCACTTGTTGCAATTCAAGAGGAAGTACAGTACTAATAGGCTAAATATTGCTTACTAATAATAAAAGTGTTTGCTGCAAATTAAACACTTCTTAAATAACTGAGCAAATGCATTTTGGGACAAGTTTTGCATGTCAAATACTAAGAGCAGAGAAAGAGAGAGATGGCTCTGTTCCTGCACAAAATGCAGATGGTAATTTCACATAGAAGGAGAAGGAATATAAAAGCAAAACTTCCCGCAAATCTGCAGCTTCAATAAGTAGGACTTGACCGGGAAGAGAGAAGCGAAACCCCTGCCACTAACAATTAGTTTTGCAGAACACAGTGGTTTATTTGAATTTGAAAAGTGAGCGTTTAAGTGTTTTGCCTCACAGGACTCATTAAGAATAAGCGATACTATTCAAAACAACCTATACAACAGATGGCTAATGCCTTGCAACAAGGAATTAGATAGCAGGGAGATTTTTGTTCACAATGAGAGCAGTCAAACATTGGAAGAGGTTGCCTAGCAAAGCTGTGGAATCTCCATCCTTGGAAACATCCAAAATGTGGCCGGATAAGGCTCTGAGCAACCAAATCAAACTTTATGAGCTGGTTCCAGCTTTGAAGCTGGCCTGGCTCTGAACAGGATGGGTTAGATCTAATGGTGTACAGGGGTTCCTTCCAATAAAAATTATTCTATCATTCTATACTGCTACATCTTTCTCTAAAAATATAATTTAATTCTTCCAATACCTCTGAAGTTTTCCCAGTATTCAAACAGATTTATTCCAAGACTATTAGCAGTACCTTTTTCATAGAACAAGAGAAATTGAATCATTAAGTTTTTAGATTACAATTTTTTGTTGTTGCTTTTATGTCTTTTAAACATGTTCTTAACAGGGATATCTGTTTAAACAACATTGATAGCAATAGTTTCGCTAGTGAGTGATCTAGTAAACCTGTTGCAGTGCAAGTTTTCCTTTCCTTCCAAGCACAGACTAAGAAAAGGCCTGACACAGTTGTTCTGCAGACACATCAGCTAACCAAGCCTCACAGTACTTAATCACCTGTATTTCCTCCAAATAGCAACTGCTGAATATGTTCCTATTGTCCAGAAATCTATCATCTATAACAGGCACAATAAATGTGCCTTGATAAAAGGACACGATATGGTGATCCACTCTTCATGCCCCTCTTATTCTGTTTTTTTCACTAGAGAAAGACTTATTAGCCCTCAACAAAAATGGAAAAGGCTTATGATGCTTCACTGTGTGAATTCTGAATGCTTTGAAATTTGTATTAGTATACCACCACACATTTGAAATGCCAAGCTAACTTTTCTAGCAATGTTACAAATTTTCTGTGTGAGAAAATACAGCTTTTTTTCCTAGCAACCATCTTTTAATTCTAACAGTTTTGTATTATTCTGATTTTGTACAAATACTGATCAACAGAGCCACCAAACCAAAGCAAGTATAAAAACGTGAAAAATCCACACAAAAATGACATTCATTAGCATCTACCACTACCAGCATTATTAAATTACACTACAGACTGTTAGAAGTAATTCTGAACTTCAAAGTTACAGAACACCATTTTCCAAGGATTGCTGTTGGTTTGTAATAGTTAAGACTCAGACCCTTCATAATGGAATCAGAGTTTAAACACGTTTCTTTTTAATTAGATACCTCAACACAAATTCTATTATTTCACAGCATGTGTACACAACATTTACCAGCGTAAGAACTGACAGTCGCCCACTGTCTTAAGACAGATTTACTAAAGCAGTTTAGAAAGACTCAAGACCTTCAAGATGTAAACAAAATGAATACACCTGGCTAACCTGAGCCCCATGTGAAGTCATGCTGCTTGAGCAGCTAATGTCACTTCTAAGCTGGCTCTGGGTTCAGGTGTGGGGGTGGAACCAGATAACAGATAGCCTTAGAAATTGGAAGTTGTTACGCTCCTGCTGGGTGGGCGGGAGTGCAGACAGACAGACACCTCTATCCTTAGATAGCACCTTACTGCTCACCATCCAAATGCAGCCTAAAACACTGCTCAGGTGTTCATTAAGCAAGTCTGCAAATTTAACACTGCCTATCACTTGCTTACACTAAACTAACCTATAGTATGATAAAATTTAACTGATTTTTACACAAGAAAACCATACAATTACAATCCAGCCTCCAATTCTATAATATAATTGACACAGGCAGGCAGTTTTGCTTGCATGGATGCTTTTGCAGAACTCGTAATTACCATGACTTCAGTTCATTTTGTATTTGAGTCAAAGCCAAGTTCTAATTATTAATTTTTGGACATGAGTGATGCTGATGACCTTTCATTTGAAGTCAAGCAAGCTTACAGATTGCCTCTGGAGTAATTTAAATGCCCAGGCAGATGAACCTTGAAATGTGTGAATCAATTATTGATTGACTCTACATCACATTAACAAAAAATTTATAGGTTGAGAGAAAAATTCATATTGTCATTGGACAGACTGTCCTATAAATTATTAGGAGCCATTTGTACACTATTTATTTTCAAGGTAGGCTGACTCCTTTACTTGACTTGCCTGCAAGCCAAGATAAACATAAACCCCTTTA